GCCTACGTGATGTCATCCTTCGACCATAGGGTATTGTAGGACACCCGATGATGATCAATCACAGAAACTTTGGTGCCTCTGTGAGTTTCTGTGTAGGAGATATAGCAGTTTATTTTTTTATGGCGAGTAGGTGAACTTTGACCCCTGCTAACCCCCCTTCAGCATACTCAAAAACTCACCGTTTTGATAACTTTAGATGGGACATGCCTTATGAACAGACTGACCGAGTTTGAAGCCGATCAATCAAAATCCCTAGGAGGAGTTCGATCAAATACCAAGGCTGTAAATGGCAAAAATGGGCTCAAAATTGGACCTTCAATCCAAAATGGCCGACTTCCTGTGATACTTGCACTATGACATTAATTGTAAATTTTGAGCATCTTGGGAAGCTCTACAAGTGTACCAAATTTCATGTCTCTACAATGAAGTAAGTGAATAGCAAAGGGTCCTTTGAAAATTTCTAGGTGGCGCTATTGAGCCATTTCTTATGGGATTTTTGCATTGACCTTAAAATACAAAATTTTGAAACTCCCTTTACGCGTCCGCCAAGTTTGGTGAGTTTTTGAATATGATAAAGCCCTCAAAAAGCCAATTCATTTGGGTGGAAGAATAATAATAATAATAATTAAAGCTGCAAGCAGCCTCGAACGGCCCTCGCAGCCAAGCGCCGCTCCGGCCTATTGCCACCGCGGGGTACGAGCAACCGCCGCCTCACGCCAGCCACCACAGAAGCTCTCACGCAGTTTTCAGCGCCTCCGCCCGCACCGCGGAAGCTGTTGCTCAGTTTAAACTTCTCCAACTCCGGTCCAACAGAGCCTTCTTGCTCAAAAGCGTGGTTCGGATTTGCAACTCCAAAATCCAAGCAAAATGTTGAGCGTAGTCCAGTTCTGTGGCTCCAAAAAGCAGGCAAAATGTTCAGGAAAACTTCGCAGCTCCAGCTGTCGCCGGCTGACTGTTATTACGTAGCGTCGATCTGTTTTCTCATTGATGGAGTACCACTGCCTCCTGCTGGGGCAATACTGGTATTGCACTAGCAGTACCAGTATATCGCCACAAGGTGCCAGTCGTACTCCATCAACACTGACCCCAGTGTGTTCTTACTTCGCTGTGTCATACGTTTTGCTGAATCACTTTGTTTGTATTATTTCTAGCAAAAATGAATGAATGTTTGTACTTTAACCCACAAAATAAACTTATATATATATAAAAAGTTATAATAATGTATATTTAAATAATTAATAACAACATAACCTATGGGCTGCTGTTTTCTAGGGGGCGGTATAGAGAAATTAGGCCACGCCCTACAAATATTGTGATGGATTCTAGTCGGGGAGTGGATAAATATTCATCCTTGTGAGTTTGCAGCAGCTGAGCCCGAAAATGTGGTATTGAGAGCCAAACGTATGGCGATGGCGTTACAGGTAACTTCGCCACGCCGCCATGCCCACCTGCTCTATCGTAGCTGGTCGGGGTTGGAATCCTCAATACACCAACATGTCTTCGGTGTCTGGGCACAGTTTCATGTTGATGAGGTCAAAGGGGCACGTTCACAGTAAAACATTACACTTCCTGTTCTCAGGGGGCGTGGCCTAAGTGATGTCATCATTCGACCATAGGGTATTCTAGGAGACCCGATGATGATCAATCACTCAAACTTTGGTTCCTCTGTGAGTTTCTGTGTAGGAGATATAGCAGTTTATTTTTTAGGGGAGTAGGTGAACTTTGACCCCTGCTAACCCCCCTTCAGCATTCTCAAAAACTCACCGTTTTGATAACTTTAGATGGGACATGCCTTATGAACAGACTGACCGAGTTTGAAGCCGGTCAATCAAAATCCCTAGGAGGAGTTCGATCAAATAGGAAGGCTGTAAACGGCAAAAATGGGTCAAAATCCAAACTTCAATCCAAAATGGCTGACTTCCTGTGGGGTTTAGACAATGGCTCCAAGAGACTTTTTTGTAAGTCCTGACAAGGTACACACGTGTACAAAGTTTCGTAATTGTAGGTTAAAGCATGGCTTGGGGCTGATCATTTAAAGTGTTCTATGGGGCGCTATAGAGAAATTAGGCCACGCCCACCAAATATTGTGATGGATTCCTGTCAGGGAGTTGATGGGAATCCATCCTTGTGAGTTTGGAGCAGCTGGGCCCAAAAATGTGGAATTGAGAGCCAAACGTATGGCGATGGCGTTACAGGTCACTTCGCCACGCTGCCACGCCCACCTGCTCCATCGTAGCTGGTCGGGGTTGAAATCCTCAATACACCAACATCTCTTCGGTGTCTGGTCACAGTTTCATGTTGATGAGGTCAAAAGGTTCAGATAGCGACCGTTCACAGTAAAACATGACACTTCCTGTTCTCAGGGGGCGTGGCCTAAGTGATGTCATCACTCGACCATAGGATGTTGTAGGACACCCGATGATGATCAATCACTGAAACTTTGGTGACTTTGTGAGTTTCTGTGTAGGAGATATAGCAGTTTATTTTTTATGGGGAGTAGGTGAACTTTGACCCCTGCCAACCCCCCTTCAGCATACTCAAAAACTCACTGTTTTGATAACTTTAGATGGGACATGCTTTATGAACAGACTGACTGAGTTTGAAGCCGATCAATCGAAATCCCTGGGAGGAGTTCGATCAAATACGAAGGCTGCAAACTGCAAAAATGGGTCAAAATCCGAACTTCAATCCAAAATGGCCGACTTCCTGTGGGGTTTAGACCATGGCTCCAAGAGACTTTTTTGTAAGTCCTGACAAGGTACACACGTGTACAAAGTTTCGTAATTGTAGGTTAAAGCATGGCTTGGGGCTGATCATTTAAAGTTTTCTAGGGGGCGCTATAGAGAAATTAGGCCACGCCCACCAAATATTGTGATGGATTCCTGTCGGGGAGTGGATGAGGATCCATCTTTGTGAAATTGGAGCAGCTGGGCCCAAAAATGTGGAATTGAGAGCCAAACGTATGGCGATGGCGTTACAGGTCACTTCGCCACGCCGCCACGCCCATCTGCTCCATCGAAGCTGGTCAGGGTTGGAATCCTCAATACACCAACATGTTTTCTGTGTCTTGGCACAGTTTCATGTTGATGAGGTCAAAGGGGTCAGATAGCGACCATTCAGAGTAAAACATGACACTTCCTTTTCTCAGGGGGCGTGGCCTAAGTGATGTCATCATTCGACCGTAGGGTATTGTAGGGCAGCCAATGATGATTAATCACAGTAACTTTGGTGCCTCTGTGAGTTTCTGTGTAGGAGATATAGCGGTTTATGTTTTTATGGCGAGTAGGTGAACTTTGACCCCTGCTAACCCCCCTTCAGCATACTCAAAAACTCACCGTTTTGATAACTTTAGATGGGACATGCCTTATGAACAGACTGACCGAGTTTGAAGCCGATCAATCGAAATCCCTAGGAGGAGTTCGATCAAATACGGAGGCTGTAAACGGCAAAAATGGGCTCAAAATTGGAACTTCAATCCAAAATGGCCGACTTCCTGTGATACTTGCACTATGACATTAATTGTAAATTTTGAGCGTCCTGGGGAGCTCTACAAGTGTACCAAATTTCATGTCTCTAGGATAAAGTAAGTGAATAGCAAAGGGTCATTTGAAAATTTCTAGGTGGCGCTATTGAGCCATTTCTTGTGGGATTTTTGTGATGACCTTAAAAATCAAAATTTTTAAATAGGCTTAAGGCCTCCGCCAAGTTTGGTGAGTTTTCCAATATGATAAGGCCCCAAAAAGCCCCCCAAAGAGGTGGGAAAAAAATAATAATAATATAATAATAATAATAATAATAATAATAACAGTACAGATACAATAGGCCTTCGCAGCGCTTAGCTGCTCGGGCCTAATAATAATAATAAGAAACAGTACAGAACAATAGGCCTTCGCAGCGCTTAGCTGCTCGGGCCTAATAATAAGAAACAGTACAGAAACAATAGGCCTTCGCAGCGCTTAGCTGCTCGGGCCTAAATATTACAAAAATAAAACACAACATTCTAAATGGGAGTTTATGGTGCGTTGACAGCTGGAGTTAGGAAACCAAATCCTCATATAACTTCTGATGGCTCTCTGCTTATTGTTTTTAAGTTTTAGGAAGTGGTGCATGGTTAGGACTTTATTGAAAAATCCTAAATCTAAACAAGCAATATGACAAAGCAGAACTACCTGAATGAAGTACAACTGACCCTGTTTTCTATGGCTGTGAGTTACTAAAAGATGACCTATTAAACTTCCTCCAACAGGTAATGATCCGTCTATGGCCGTGATTATATTATGCAAAAAATGTACAAAATCCATTTTTTTCACAAAATTATTCTTATATAATTAGATTTTAGTCTGGTCAGTTCCGAATGAGCTTCTTTAGTGCATTTTGTCACTTTAAAGCCAAACAACTCAACGTTTACACTCATACATGAAAATGGCTGCAAACAGATGAGCTATTATACAACAAGATTTTCATCTTTGAAAATCATTAGTAGAGCCTCCTGCACAACTAACAAGAATGCAGAATTTTCAGGACAAGTGTTTCTTTTGCTGGAAAGGACAAAAGAACACTTGTACTTTCCAGCAGCCATTGTACAGTAACAAATTATTGTTATTTCAGTCCTTAAAATACCAAAATTTCCAATTGACTTCATATTGTGGTTCGTCTGTTGATGTAAATTTTAAGTATTAAATGATAATTTGATCAGTTAATCAGTCCTTTGGTAGACATTTTACTAAGTACGTTTTTGCTTTTACTTCACTAAATCTTTTGGCGACTCTACCCACCTGCGGGTAACAGGTAGGGGTTACTAGGTTACGGGCAGCATTAAATAATTAGTAAAAAATACAGGGTGTGTTTTTTTTTAAGAGCTTGGGCTGTTTTTAGAAGCAGTAGAGACCAAAATGGAAATACAAGAATATCAAGTGTGGTTTTTATTTTCCCCTGTAAGGATGGCGTTTCATTGGGTTTTCCATTGTTTGAGCCCAAATGATCCTCCGGTCTCGTTGCAGATGTCGCTGTAACTAAAGAAAACACCCACAAGCAGTTTACGAGGGAGCGGCAGGGCGCCGTGAGGCGACGGATCCACCAGGTCAACGGGCACAAGTTCATGTCCACTTTCCTCCGTCAGCCCACCTTCTGCTTCCACTGCAAGGAGTTCATCTGGTGAGTCCGACCCGCCGGAACCGAGTCAGAACCTAGCCGAAACTGTCTGGAGGAGACCTGACCATTTCCTCTCCTCTGTTACAGGGGTGTGTTCGGAAAACAAGGTTACCAGTGTCAAGGTGTGCAGGCCAGCCGTCCTCTTTGTTCGCCTGTTGGTCATCCGCGCTGCAGAAACGACTGTAACCCTGTGTGTGTTTTCAGTGTGTACGTGTGTAGTTCATAAGCGGTGCCACCAGCTGGTTGTCACTGTGTGTCCACGCATGAAGAGATCAACCAAAGAGAAGGTAACGACTGCTTGTTTCTGCCCCTTTTCTCATCATTTTCACACATTTTTAAGTAACTTTTTGCATTAATTCAGAAAGCCCTAAAATAGCAGCCCCTTCCCACACATGCAAGTTCACCCACTCAGCACCTGCAGCGATCAGCAGCCTTTACAGCTTCCTGTTTCTGTCTGAGTCGACCACTGAGCCAGAACAACGCACTTCACTAAACTTTCCCACATGAGCTTCTGATGCATTTACATCTCTACAGATGCACTCACTAGTGATCAGTATATTGTGCCAAAGCAAAAGTTTCTCCTGTTTTTGGTTAATTCTGAGCAAATGACGTAAAGACAAAAAACATCCAACTTATAGCAAAAAAACTTTGACCTTAACCTCATCAGAGATCAATACTTGTAACAATTTTCCTCTCAGATGGAAAGAAAGACATTTAACAAATATTTATTCACATCACAATTCCAAAAAAGCACAATTACTCGCATGTCAGAGAGAGAAAAGGAAAATCTCAAATATTAAAACAACTCACAAATCTATGTGGCTAAAATACCAAACAGAAATAAACCTTACACAAAATAAAAGTCTAATTTTCTTTCAATGAACATAAAACATTTCTAATACGCCGCATGGATAAAAATTTAAATTAGTAGCAGCATAAAAGGCATTCATCAGAGAAGGGAAGAAGGAAACAGAAGTAGAAAGAAAGAAAACATGTTGAAGCATGCTGATGAAACACCAAACTTTGCATAAGACAAAAAGTAGTGATAGCAAAGTCTGCAGACTGTTTTAAATGCCAACATTTCAAATTAGGAGGAACTTCAGAGAAATGTTGTCTGAGAGCAGCAGCTTGAAGACCTATCAAACTGGCACCATCCCCAGTAATCTAAACGCTCCTATAAGGCATTTTACACATTTAGATCAGCAGTCCCAACACACTTAAAACTCATCATTTACTTATACTGCTTGTTCTTTCACATTAAATCAAACTAATTTTGTCTGGTTTGAGTCGGGCAGAATTGCTAAACTTCTTTCTGTTTGATAAATTATATAATTTGGAGAGATTTTTCTCTGACTTTCTTCAAAGTCAAAATACTACAATACAATAAAAGTGTTATGCCTTTATAAACCTCTACAAAATCAAAGTTGTTATTTGATTTTGTAGTTCATTAACCGTTAAAGACTCAAATTTCCTTGTGTGACAATATGAGAAAACAGATACCAGGAAGATGAATGCAGACTTTCATAACTCTGGTTCATCCCTGGGTAAAATTTGATGCTTGTTGTTGCAAAATGTGCAAATCTGACCCAGAACAAAAGCAAAACTTTGTGAAGTTGCTGATGAAAGCAGGGAAGAGCCGTTATCTGTACCGACATGAACCGAAAGGCCGCTCTGCAAGGAAGAAGGCCTGGAAAACTCATCTTCAGAGGCCTTTTATTTTAGGAGAAACAAAACATTTAGTGTTTTGCCCCCCAAAAAATTGGAAATGTGGAGATCTCAGATTTTACTTTCCTTCAGGTTCTTGGTAAATCTCAACTGGGAGTATCATGTTAGGCAGATATTTTTTTTTTGCTGGTGCAACCTGTAAGATAGATTAAGCCGAGAACATGTTGTAGTTTCGAATGAAAAACTCAAGACATCAGTCCGAAAGTTTCAGCGTTGTTGGATTTTCTCTTTTGACGTTCACAGCTCTAAATTAGCTGCAAAGTGGTTTTCTGCATCTGTTTAACTAATCTGAGCTGTGTTGATTAATTTACAGTCTCTGTTGTTTTCTTGCAGGATGCAACTCAAGGTTTCAGCATCAACGTCCCTCACAAGTTCAGCACTCACACCTACAAGTCTCCAACCTTCTGTGACCACTGTGGTTCGCTGCTGTGGGGATTAGTTCGGCAGGGCCTGCACTGCAAAAGTATAAGATAAAGGAAAACTGGGATCTCATTTCTCTCTTGGTTTGACTAATTGACGTATTTATTCTCCTGTTCTCAGTTTGTAAAATGAATGTTCACATACGCTGCAAAGGCAACGTCGCCCCAAGCTGCGGCGTCAACAGCGTGGAGCTGGCCAACAAGCTAGCGGAGATGGGTCTACAGGCCGGAGGACTCTCCAAGAGGAACACAATGGTAGAAAGACTCTTTTCACATCACTCTAAATAACCTCTGGATCTCTGTGAACGTGTTGATCTGTTCCAGCAGGTTAAAGAGCCGAGTAGGCAGCCATCCGAGAGAACGGAGAGTACAACGACCACGGAGGGTCAGCCGGAGACCCCGCGGCTGGGGATCTCAGATTTTACTTTCCTTCAGGTTCTTGGCAAAGGCAGCTTTGGCAAGGTGGGAACGACTTCGGGTGAAAATGTGAATTATCCTGGAATGAATGGGATTATGGGAAAAAATATCAGCTTTTATGATGGAACAAGTTTCTTTTCACATATAAATGGAATATTGTTCTTATTTTATTGCCGACAACAGCATATTTTTTATGGGTTCTGCATGTAGATTTTCAGCCAGTATTCATTCTAAGTGGATATTTCACGCTAGAGTTAGCTCTGCAGCTGCAATACAGTTTGAACCGAAGTCTTATTAAATGTGATTTATACTATAAGAAAGCAAACATGCTGAGGTTGTACTTTTCCTATTCATGTTTTATTTGCAGATGTGTCAGAGGGTTGAAAGAACTAATCAGATTGATTGGTTATTGAGATAATCATTAACTGGAGCATACAGACTCTTAAAAAGGCTGTTCGTTAAAAGAACAACATATTCAGAGTATTAATAAAACCAAAACTGTACAAAATAAATACACATTTCACATTTGAAATTAAATAAATTCTCAGTTTAGAAATATGTTTTAGCATCTTAGCTGCAAAATGTATATTTTCATGGTGGAGTTTTTCCCAAATTATTGCGAGTATCTTAGCAAAGGACGTTTTTCAGAGTCTGTTATGATAATTTGATTATTAAATTAGTCGACAATTATTTTAATAGTCAATTAATCAGAATGAATCACAAATAGTCTGATCAGAATCATGTTTTAGTCCCAATCAAGTGTAATATTAAAATAGAAACCTGTTACTGAAGCTAACGGTTAATTGATAACTAAATTAGTTGACGATTGTTTCAATAATTGATTCATCATGATTAATTTGTTTCAGCCCTAATGATGTGTAATACCAATAACAAAAAATACGTATTTTACCCCAACAAAGTTGTCTTTTTAAATCTGAAAATTAATTATAATGACTCAAAGTTACCTACAATAACTAGCAATTCAATAAAATTAAATGGATTGACCAGATAAGACTTTGAATTTGTTTGCTTCATGTAAATACCGTTAACACGTCAACGATTAATCGCTAAATGACTCCACTTAATGATTAATCGGTTACGAAAATAGTGGACATTTATTCCTATCACCTATTAAATTGTTTAATTCCTAATGAAGCATAATATCAATGAAAAGTAATATATATTTATTGTGCCCCAACAAAATCGTCTTCTTAAATCTAAAGTTTAATTGTAATTCCTCAATGCTGCTTACGGTAGCCAGCAGTTGTGAAATTTCCTGTTTCTTGTGTGAATTGCAACTACGTGGTTTCTGCAGGTGATGCTGGCAAAACTAAACGGCAAAGATCACGTCTTCGCCATAAAGGTGCTGAAGAAGGACATCATCCTGCAGGACGACGACGTCGAGTGCACCATGACGGAGAAGCGGGTTTTGTCGCTGGCCCGCTGTCACCCGTACCTCACGCAGCTTTACTGCTGTTTCCAAACACCGGTCAGTGCCGCAGGAACACACTCAGTCTGTGTAGGAATCCCTGTTTAAAGCTGTGATACTTAGTTTTACAAAGACACTATAAATGGAACATTGTTTTTCCAAAAACATCAAACTTTTTTTATTAACTATGGTAAAATTTATTTTTTTTGGGAGGGAGGGGAAGGTCGGTTGCCGCATGTATGCAAATTTCAAGGCTTCACAAATTACTGTTTACATAACTCTGCAGCTGCACTAAAGTCTTATTGAATGTGAAAGTTTAACACTATGAGAAAGTAAACGTGTTTGTGTTCTTCTTATTTATGCTTCATTTGCAGATGTTCTTTTTTAGGACAGAACCGATTAATTGGGTTAATCGTGATTAATCGATTGTTGAAATAATCATCAACTAATTTATTAATAAATTGTTGGGAGTGTCAGACTCTAAAAAAGGCTGAAAGAACAACATATTCAGAGCAATAATCAAGTCAAAATTGTACAAAATTATATATATTTTTTTGCATTTAAGATGAAAAAAAATTGTCTGCATATATGCATCTTTAAACATTTTTAATTTCATAAAAAAAACTAACGTGGTTAAATAAAAAATCAGTTGAAGGTTCCATTTTTTATCCAATTAATCAATTTATCGTTAGAATAATCACTAAATACTAAAATACCAGCTAATGAATCATGAACCAACAGTCTGTGAAGGAATGTTCCTCATGCTTTAATCCTGAGTCATCGAGCTTTCTGGAAGTTAATGTTACGTAGTTCATGTAAACACATTTTTTGTTTGCTCATCTGAGGTTGTCAGATGAGCAAACAACACCGCAGCTGTTGCAGCTCATGCACCAGAACGCTTCCTTGTTTTCAGAAAATTTGAATTTTCAGGGCATTTTGTGGGTTTAATTAGGGACCTGTCGCTCCTGCCAGGCATTAATTATTCTGTCTTGGCAGATGAATACAGGAGTGTGTCGAAGTTTCTGATGGATTTCCTGATCAGAGTCAATTTAAGCTGGTAGCTCCCAGTTACTGGTTATGAGAGAAAGGAAGGAAATGGGAAGGAAGAGGAAGAGAGGAAGGAAAGAGGGAACCAAGATTAAAAAAAAGAAAAAAAAAAGAGAGAAGGAAAGAAAGAATGTTGATGGAAAGAGAAAAGGAGAGAGAGAGTTTCTGTTGATGTTGGGTAAAACCAAACTTTGTATATCAAAGACCAACCAGACAAGACAAACTCTGCAGCTTTTAGTTTGAAAAGTTGTGGTTTAGATGATGATTTATTAGACGAGGGGAACACATTTAAGAATTCACATACTCATACTCAGTAATTTAAATGCTCTCTGTGGTGATTCAAACATTTTCACCTGAGCTGTGAACACTGTATTTCAATTAGCTTAAAAAAAGACACTCAATAACCCTTTTTCTTTCTATTTCATGTTAAATTCAACTAGACTTTTCCTGTTTTAGGTCAGTTAGAATCACCAAAATAATTTAAATTTTCTACATGATAGGTGGAGAGATTTTTGTTTTAAAAATATATGCTGAAAGAGAAAAAATAAAGCAAATCATGGATTTTTTTGTGATGTTAATAATGATATTATTAGTCAAATAAATCAATAAATAATAGATTTTGCACAAATTCCAGTGGTTCAGCGCCTCAAAAGAAAACCTCTCATCTTATAAAACTCTTAAAAATACAAAGCAGCTAAAAAATCTAAACAGGTTCCTTGAAGTGGGATTTCGAGCTCAGGCGTGTCTCGTCTCATTCCCGTCAGCAGCTGTTTGCTGACGCCATTGTGGTGACAGATCAGATAAAACACAAAGAATTACAAAAATCCAAATGACGTTTGCATTACTGACTTATAGATGTTATGGATGTCGGCCGTCACGTCACTTTAACTCAATGAAATCAGAATTTTAGTTTTTTAGGTGTCATTTTGTCATCTGGTCAGCAGATGGCAGCAGATTTCCAGATTTTAATCTGACAGATTGACTCAGGAGAAGCCGGGCTTAGACACAGGATGCTCATAATCTGCTTTAGATGTTCAAATCATTCATGACCTACTTCTTACTGGGACGAATTGATCTGATGGTGCGACCAGTTCTCAGTTTATTCTGCATTTCATCGCTATCAGCTCTTTCCTGGCAATCACCGCAGACGTTGTCAAACATTGCTAAGAAATCGCCTCGTGCAAAAGGTGTTAAATTATCGCAGCTGTTGATTTTAGTCTGGCGTCTACGTAAATGCTGATGTGGAAAGAGAAGCAGAGGAAATGAATAAAGCTTGTGGTTACGTCTGTAGAGGCGGACACAGGTGTATTTTTAACTCTGCACTTTGTCTCCAACTAAGCTGTTTAAAATTCATTAGAATAAATGATGCAACTTTTTAGTAGAAGTACATTGTATTTTATTTTGTAATGAAGAGCTGCTTGTTAGTGGCACAAAATACATTTAACTCAAAACATTTATTGCATTTGCTACAACCCAACCAAAGAAGTGCAATATTATGACGTTTAACAACAATTAGTCTCGATTTTTTATTTTTTTTTTATTTTTATAAATATAAATTTACATGCATTTGTATTCACTCCCACTGCTCTCTGGTTCTCATTCCCTCAGTATGACAGTGCCACCACCGTGTTTCACCATAGGGATAATGCTTTCAGAGGGGTTTTCTCTCCATAAAGGTTTCATTTTGTCTGATCATAATACCTGTATCTCCTACATCGTTTGTAGAAAACAAAAAATTTTAGAGCTTTTTTTTTCTCCTTCTCCTGCAGGAAGTCTTGATTTTATTTTGGGATGTCAGAGAAAGGGGTATTGAACGCGAAAATGTCTGCCACACTTTTCAAATTTATGCCTCCAAACAAATTTACTATTGTTATTATTATTATTACATTTTATACTTCCATTTTGGTCGCAACTGCTTCCAAAAACAAAGCCAAGTACTTAAAAAACTTTTTTGTAATAATTTAATGTTTTTAGTTTCTAAAACCTCCAGATTGTAAAACTAGTTTCCATGGTTACCTAGCAACCGTACCGAAGCCCAGCCTGTCACCTAGCAACCGCAGCTGAATTCCAGCACATTTGGTCAGCTGATCTTATCCCTGCAGATATTTGGCATAAATTAATTATTTTATGATACATAATATTTGTCAGGATTTGCAATAAAATAATTCGGATTTACTCAACATTTGTAATTAAACAAATATTTTGACCAATAATTTAATTAATTTATATTTAAATTTACTTAATTAAATCAATAATTTTTTGTTAAAGTTGAATATATGTTAATTGTCGCTTTGTTGCCATAATTTTAAAATCTTGTTTTGTTGTTGACTTACTATTCATAAACCACTTGTTACATTTTTGTTGGTTGTGCAGGAGGTTCCACTTCTGCTTTTCAGAGAGTATAAAAGCACTCTCTGAAAAGCAGAGTGCAGTTATATGTGCACAGTTTGCAGCCATTTTCAGGACGCCCTAAAATGGCTAACAATGGCCAAACTGAGCAGACTAACGTATCTTTATCGAACCATGATTTTGTGCAAAAAAATCTGTTAATAAAACATGTTTTTACCTGTCCTGACCTGTTCCAGGAAGAATAATAGGTCACCTTAAAAAAAACACTTCATAATTAAGCTTTACCTTCTGTTGGCTTGAGACATAAAATCCCCGTAAAACTCACTGAAGTTGGTTGCTACAATAAAATGTGGAAAAGTCTAAAGGTTGGAAAAACTTTTCCATGTTCTTTCTCTTAAAGTGGTTTTCTTTTCCCCAGTCTGATTAACAGACCAATCGTCACCACTCAACAAAGATTTATGGCTCATAGCTGGATTTATTTGCAGTTTGCTGCACAAAAATTCATAAAACAAACATGTAAAATTTATGTGCAGCCACATCTGAAATCATTCTGCGCTTACAGTCACTGGTTTCTGTAATAACACTGCAGCCTGAGGGAGGCTGTAAATGTCGTCTCCTCGTTTAGATTGTTTCATTTGTTTTAAATTCCAGGATCGTCTTTTCTTTGTGATGGAGTTTGTGAATGGAGGCGATCTCATGTTCCACATCCAGAAGTCCAGGAAGTTTGAAGAGGGCAGAGCGCGTTTCTACACGGCGGAGATCACATCCGCCCTCATGTTCCTGCACAGCAAAGGCATCATCTACAGGTTTGAGACAAAAACTCATAAAACATAAAGTCAGCTACAGAACTGCAGAATATGTGCTCAGAAATGTCATATTAAAACAAATATAATCTTTGAAGCTGTAAAAAGGAATAATAATTAACTATTCAGACCTGATCTTTCTGTATAATACTTCTAAGTTAAATTTTTATTTCAAAAGCTACCAAGAAATTGTAAATCCATGTTTTCATTTTAATGTACTTGGAAGAATTAAGTTGAGCTTTAATCAAGTTAGGTTATATAAATTACAGGAAAAATGGAGTGTTCACACAATTCAGACTGTTTTTTGTTGTTGTTTGTTTTTGCTTTTTTTATAGAAAATTCTTACTTTTTACAAAATTCAGATTTTTTTCACAGAATTCTGACTCTAGAGGATTATGACTCTAATCTCAGGATTTTTACCCTTTTTTTTAGAATATTAAATTTATTTTATTTTTGTTTACAATATTCAGATTTGTTTTTTATAGAATTATGATACATTTTTTTACAGAATTCACAGGATTTGTTTTTCGTTATTTGTGCAAAATTCTGACTTTTACAGAATTAAATGTTTCTTTTTTGTTTTTTAATAGTTCAGTTTTTAAAAAAATTCTGACTTGAAATTCAGAATTTGGACTTATGATGTCATATATTATGATTTACACACTAATCATAATTTTATGGGGTATAATTTTCAGAATAATATCGCCAAACATGTCAATATTTTGACACTGTCCTGAAAATGACCTGTAACTATCTGAATAAACTATTTAAGCATTTACTGTCAGAATCAGTGCAAAGCTGTGCTGGACGCAGCTCAAGTCTAATTCATTCCCACTTTCTGCACTGATCATGCATGGAGCCTCCTGGAGTCTCAGATTAGATGAACCAGGATGTCAAAGGTCACAGAGAGTTTGATGATCCATAGTGACTGATGAAAATGTGGATTTATTGCAGATGGTCTCATCACTCCAATATTGTACAATAAATATCGCAATCGCATGATTTCCTAAATCTGCAAAGCTGGAAAAAGATTCAAGTAACACAGTTTTAAGTTTTAATTTACCAACATTAATATTGATAACAAATCGATTGTGTTTTGCACTCTGAGATAATAATAAGATGTGAGACCTCCCGGTGCATGATGGGAGGGAAGGGGGCCATCATGTGAGCAAACAGTAACTCCAGGGTTATATTTAGGTCACCATGTGTCCTGCAGTCTGGGTCCGGCACATCCCACAGCTTCTGTAGAATGACGGGATAAAATTACAACCTACAAAATAAAACTAAACCTGACTCCTTAACGTCACTCTGAATTATTTTATCTTATTATTTTGTGTCCAAGCTTTAACTTCTCTGCAGATATTGGTTCAATATTTTTATAGGATTAATCATTTGGCCCCCAGACTGCACTGGTTTAGTACAACATGAAGAATTTTTGTCTTTATAAGCCTTTTTTTTTTTTTTTTTTTTTTTGCTTTTATTTATAAATCTGTACTATTTCAATTGTCACCTTTAGCTAAAGTTATTGAGAGCCATTTTGACTCTGGAGTTGCAGGTTACCAAACCCTGAGTTAGCTTTACTTTCATCTGTTTCCCAATCAAACATCACATTTCAGCAATAAAATGGTGCTAAGAAGAAGAATATGATTTTACAACACAGCAAAAAAAAGTTCATTTTGTGCGTCACAGCATTTGTCACCACTTCCTCTGCTCCTCTTTGGAAATGTTCACATTTATAAATGATTATCTGAGATTCTTTCTCATCAGTGTTGAAACCAGAGCTTCCAGTTTACCCAGTAAACACAGGAAACTAAGCTGGACTCCAGGTTAATTAGATAACTGTTGCTGGTTATATTTTTGTTGATATTTCATCTCTGTAATGAACACAAAAACATTAAAGATGCATCTGGATATCTTGGGCTTGTGGGGCGCATCACTGCAAAAATAAAATATTTCCAAGTACTTTTGGTCTAGTTTCTAGTGCAAATATCTCAGTACACTTCAAAAAAGACAAAACTAACTGACAAGAAAATTTTCAGCAAGATATAGGATCTTTTTTTAATAAATAATTCTTTAACACTGATAAAGAAAGTTAATTGTTCCACTGGCAGATAATTTCACCAATATATTTTGTACTTTATTGGTCAAATAATAGTGAATTTTCATCAGTGTTAAGGAATTATTTATTAGAACAAGGTCCTATATCTTGCTGAAAATGTTCTTATAAGTTAGTTTTATCTTATTTCAAGTGTCTGAAAATATTTACACTAGAAACTAAACCGAAATTAGTTGGCAAAATTTAGTGCAAAGCCTAAAACAATTGCATCATTGTCATTCTACTTATTAATTAATAAAATTATGACAATAATGACATATTAAGTAGTATTTTTATTCATTTCAACGAGCATTCAACCAGAACAAGGTGAATATCCAGCAAGAAAACACAAAACCCTACAAAGTGTTTTTGATCTAGTGTGCAAATATCTGTTCACTTGAAATAAAACAAAATTAACTTACAAGTAAGTTTTTAATATCTTCTTATTTCACTGATGAGAATTTTTTTCTCTTCATAAGTGAAATAATCTGACAGTAAAACTAGTACTTTTTCATCAATATAAAGAATTTTATTTTTTAAACGCTTGCTTGCTGAAAATCACTTCTAATTTAGTTTTATCTTATTTCACATGAACTAAGACGTTGTACTGGAAACTGGACCAAGATTTTTGGTAAGATTTTGTATTTTTGCAGTGTGCGGCTGTTTTCCCACTACTTGGTTAAACAAAGAGAGAAGTGCACCGCAGGAGGTTGAGTCAATGTTATACAACCTTCTTCAAGCAGAAAAAAGCAAACCAGATTAATCCAACCCACTGAGTGCTTAATCAACAGTCAGGCTTTCAGCAGCTGGTTGCCGCGTTTATCGTCTCCTCCTTTACATGGAAATGACTCAGTCTTTCTTCCATTGGAAACTGAAACGTTAAGTTTCCTTTCATTATATTAAATTTCATCTGTGCAGCTTCAGGCCTCATCTGCACAGTGACCTTTGCATGAGTGCTGGGTCATCTGATCACAGATTAGAGCTTAACCCAGGATCCCACACTCAGCAGCTTTAATCTCATGTCAGATGACAAAGCAGCAGCTGAAACGAACATGGAGATGGAGATTATTTCTGGCAGGCTCAGAGACAAAACCTCGGCGGAGAGAGCCGTACTCACCTGACTGGATCATTTCAGGCATCAGTTACCACATTTATAGATTACATCTTTGCTGCATCTGTGCATTTTACTTTAAGGTTTATTTCTGGATGGTTATGTAAAAAGCTGCATGTAAATTTTGTCAAATAAAGTACAAGATGATTCTCTCTGACATATTTCTCACCATGCGAGTCAAAACTGTAAAGTTGAAAGTATTTGACAGCCACAAAATGTTTTTTGTCTGGACAACAACGTACAAAACACAATAACAGAATCTGGATGAATATTGACATAATAAACATATTTGACTGTGTTAGACAGTTTGTGATCATGTTCTGATTGACTGAAATGTTTTTATTTGTGTTTTTCTGTTCGTTTTGCCTTGCAGGGATCTAAAACTGGACAACGTCCTGCTGGACAAAGACGGTCACTGCAAGCTGGCAGACTTCGGCATGTGCAAGGAGGGAATATTTGAGGGCGTGGCCACCGGGACGTTCTGCGGGACTCCGGATTATATCGCCCCAGAGGTCGGTTAAAGCCCTCAGATTATTGATTTTCAGAATTAATAGTTGGTTTTATTTATTTGTTTATTTTGTTGTTTGACAAAATTCTCCAAACTAAAGAGGCATAAACATAATTTTCATTCATTTACAATGCAGGAAACTCTGAAGTTTGAGTTTAAAAATGTGGAAAAACAAAATAGAGTCTGGGAAAATGTTTCTGTTTTCAGATGTTATTCTGTTTGCTTAAAGTTTTAATTAAGCAAACAGATTGATGAATCTATCCATTCATCGGTACATCCGATAGATTGATGTACCATCCATCCATCCATCCATCAGGGTGCTTCACTGAAGGGATGTAAAATGGATGTTTAAGTTCACAAAACATTCCTTTTTATAAACGACAGCACTGTAATTGAGGAGGAAAAGGAATTATTTCAGTTTAAATACTCTGAGCTCATTTTTTCATAAATATATTTAATTATAGATGATTTGTTTTTAAACTGAATGAGCTCCAGTCAGCCTCCTGCAGGCTTTAAGCTCGCGTGATGCAGTTTTTCCATCAGACCACCTCCGTATGAACAAACATGGCGCTTGTTGCTCGTCACTTAAGATTCCTTTCTGACTAACTGGAAGGCAGCGCATGCATGAGGTCAGTTTGTAAGCTTCCCTGTTCGCTCTTCAGGATAGATATTCAACCGCATGTTTGCTTTTCAGAATCCCAGATTGTCTTTGTTTTTTTCAAGCAAAAGGGCCGTTTAAAAGTGCTTGATCCGAATCCAACATGACTAAAGCTCAGGTTGTGGATCTAAATCAACTGCTGAGACTTTCCTGCTCTCCCTGTTTTAACAGGAAACTTTACAGAGCTTTGAAAACCCATTTGCATCCTTGTTAAGTCAAGGATTCACTTTTATTGGACAGGTTTTTTTGCGCAGTTTTTCTACGTCTGCTTACTGACTGAACTGTGGAATCAGGAAATCACTTTTTCATCAAGTTAACTTCACTTTTTGTAATTTTTCTACTTCCATTTTGGTCTCTACTTCTTCTAAAAACAGCACATCTATTTAAAAATGCAACTGCAAATACTTTGCAAAATAAGGCAAAGTGGGTTTGGATAAATGTATTTTTCTTAATAAAAGTTTTATCAAATTTGTTTTAATGCTGTGTGTGAAAATGTCAAGTAAAAAGTTGTTTATGTAGCACATTTACAACAACCCCAGCTGACCAAAGTGCTTCACATCAATAACAACGTCACAGTTAGATAAGTGATAAAACAAAGAATAAAGTTAAGTCAGGTAAAAATAAGACAATTATGAAATTGGCAGAAAATCCAAAAAAATAATATGTTTAAAAACCAAGTTATGCTTAATTTCAAACTGCAGCAATCTCCCATAAACTCGAATCACTACTTTATGGGAGAAGAACTAATATTAGAAGTACTAATATTCCACTTTTTTTACTGGTCATAAAATGTTTTTTGACCAGTGAATTCAGACGTCTTAGCCTGGTTTAAGTTTTGCCTGTATTTTATTATATCTTAGTGTTTTTTAATGTGTTCCTTTATGAATGAGCAGTTAAAAGCTCCATTGATGTCTCCACAGATCCTGCAGGAGATGATGTATGGCCCGTCGGTGGACTGGTGGGCGCTCGGCGTGCTGCTGTACGAGATGCTGTCAGGCCACGCCCCCTTCGAGGCTGAAAACGAAGACGACCTCTTTGAGTCCATCCTCAACGAGGACATCGTTTACGCGTCCTGGCTCAGCAAAGAGGCGGTCAACATTCTCAAAGCTGTGAGTTCAATCATGAATTTCCCAATCAGTTTTTTTTTTTTTAACAGGACTTGCTAAACAAATTTCACAATATTTTCATGGTTTGAATTTCCATTTGGATCTCAACTACTTCTAAAAACAAGACAAGCAGTTGAAAAATATTCAGCTGCTATTTTTGGCAATAACTTAATTCTTTTTGTTGTCTGAAAATAAAAAACTTCCTAATTGACATTTTACAGCAACCCCAGGGGAACTCCAGCAAGTTTTGGCCGCCTGGTTTTACTTTATTGCCAGTCAAACTGTTACTTTTTAAGGAATTAATTGCTTAAAACAAGTTCCTACATGGTTCTGAAAAGTTACTTGTAAGTTAAGTTTGTCTGATTTCAAGTGCACAAAGAAATTTGTACTAGAAACTAGACCAAAAATACTTCTGTATTTTTGTGCTGTATTTGCTGCATGTTGATTATGCATGAGGCTCCATTTCTGCTTTTCAAAGATGTGCAGTTGTATTATTGTGCAACCCTTTTCACATATTTGGATCTAAAGTGACAAGAAGCCATAAAACATCTAACAGTAGACTGATCTGAACAGGCTGGAATGTCATTATCCACAGACCATAAACTGATCCTAATCTATTCAGGAAAGCATAATAGATTACCTTTAATAAGAAGAAAAATGACTGAAGTTGGTTTAATTCTGTGTGATATTTCATTGATTTGCCCTCTAATGACACATTCATGAAGGTCACTCCGGAGTCATCAGTCACTCAGATGACCTCTGACCTGCTTTGCATATAGTTTCGCATTTGTTTCTCAGGATTTTGTGGTCTGGGTTTGTGTTTTTGTTGTCGAACAGATGGAATGGTGTTATTGCAGCTTGACTGGCTACACTTGGAAATTTTCCAGCCAGCTGTTTGGTTTGTTACATAACTATATCACAGCACGGTTCAGTTGCCAGCCGGTGCATAAGCTATAAATATGACGCCTCCCCCTCCTCTCTGCAAGTGATCTGCCACGCTACAGGAAACGTCACACTGCTCTCCCGTGTTGATTCGTCCCCGGCGGCGGGTCGGTGTGGAGGGATTTGGAGGCTGAGTTTCTATTGATACCAAAGGTTGATTCACTGTGAGGTGCACCGTGGCTTTGTAGAGCTGTTCTGCTGTTCAGAAATTAGTTGAGTTATTTGGTAAAAATCTTAAAGTCTGAGCTTCACTGCAAACACCAAAGTCTTACCAAATACGTCAGTACACTTGGAATAAGATACAACTTAAAAGTGACTTTTCATTAAGAAATAGGAGCTTGTTTTAAGAAAATAATTCCTTAACATTGATCAAAAGTTCCGCTGACAGATTATTTCTCTTATTTATGAATGAAATAATCTGCTAGGAGACTGGGGTTGGGGTTGCTAGGTAACGGCCCAGTGACCTTTGAACTCAGTGGAAAATTTTACCAGTGGAACCAAAACAAAACAAGATGGAAACATATTTGTAAGTTTGATCTTATTTCATGTGTTAAATGTTCTGTTTTTGCAGTATAGTTTAAATATCTTAGAATACTTAAAATAACACAAAACTAACCTAAACTTAACTAAAGTACCACAAATGTCTTACATTTAAAGAAGACAACACTGATTTATAATAAACTTTTCAGCAAGATTTTTATTTTAAGTCAATAATTCCAGAAAAATAACTTGTTCCACTGGCAGACTATTTGCACTTAAACAAAATATTTTCCCATTTTATAAGTGAAATAATTTGCCATTTTAAGAAGTTAATGATTTAAAACAAACATCTTGCCGAAAAGCTACTTACAACTTAGTTTTGTCTTAATTTAAGTGTAGTTAGATTATTTGCACTAGAATCAAGACGTGGTAGAATTTTGTCTTTTTGCAGTGAAGCGTCTTTCAGGTTATTTTAGTGATGGTTGCGGTGGAGATGGAGCATGTTGGGTGTGTTGTGCTTGTCTGAGCGTTTCTTCCAACGCTCCCCAGAGAACACAAACGGCCAACAATGCACAGGTTCCTGCCAAAGGCCAGGCCGGTCAAGCAGGCGTTGCCCTGTTTCCTCGGGGTCAGAGGTCACGTCCTCCAGACCGTTAGCGCTCAGCAGGGGATTCACTTATTGTCTGAGTTTGAGCAACACGGGGAAGTCGAGTCGAGGCACGTCAGACACTTACAGTACGAAGCTGAACTTTGGCCAAGTGGAGCAGAACAGGGGAGGTGTGTGTGTGTGTGTGTGTGTGTGTGTGTGTGTGTGTGTGTGTGTGTGTGTGTGTGTGTGTGTGTGTGTGTGTGTGTGTGTGTGTGTGTGTGTGTGTGTGTGTGTGTGAAGGGAGGTGGAGACTGACTGGAAGGGTTTCATCCAGTTGAGCCTGCTTGATCCAGCTGAAGGAAAGTTGATACAGTCATAAACACTCAAACCAGTCGAGTCCAGTTTACTATTATTAGGAATGTTTGTACAAGTAGTAGTACTTGTTGTAGTGGTGGTACTATTTGTAGTAGTAGTATTTTTTTGTTGTGTTTGTATTTAAGTCACATGTTTTCAGTTCAGCTTTTCCATCAGATTAGATGCCAAAAACGCAGATCATTTCCATTTATTTCAAAGAAATCCAGTTTTCATATAGTAGTAATAGTAATAGTAGTGGTAGTAGTAGTTGTTGTAGTAGCAAAAGTATTAACATCATTATTATTTTTGTTTCATGCATGTTCAGCTTTTTTTCACTTCACCGATTCTGCTTTCATCATTCACACTTATTTGCAGAAAAATGCCATTATTATTATTATTATTGCTATTGTTGTTATTGTTATTGATGAATCCTGGTGTTTTTGGGTTCTGCAGTTTCTGACTAAAAACCCGGCGCGGCGTCTCGGCTGCATCCCGTCAGAAGGAGGCGAGGACGCCGTCATCAGCCACTCCTTCTTCACCGGCATCGACTGGGAAAAATTAAACCGCAGAGAAATAGAGCCGCCATTCAAGCCAAGGATTGTAAGTCATTTAAAAAGAAACCAGATATGAAACCAGATAGACACATACACTGTAAAAACAAACTGCTTCCTGGTGTGGAGTCATGGGGAAAAAAATCAAGCAAAGGTCAAATTTGCAGATTCTGGAAGTTGCCATATTAATCTTTCATTTTACATTGGTTGTTGGTGTTTCTGACATTTTCTTCTCGTTTCTTTATTATTTTGCAGAAAACGCCTGAGGATGTGAACAACTTTGACCCGGACTTCACCCAGGAGGAGCCGACGCTGACCCCCATCGACGACCCCGTAATCCCTTCCATCAACCAGGACGAGTTTAGAAACTTTTCCTTCACTTCGCCTGACCTTCTGAACATCTGAGAGGCTCCAATCCTGGCATTTATCTCCCAGTTTTCCTCCCAGTTTCTACTGAAATCACTTGAACTTCATCGCTGTCTCCCTCCTCCAGAAATCTGAGGGAATGTCTCAAAAGGACGTTGGAGGCGCCGGGCGATAGCTGAACTCCTCTGCACCCGTTTAACCCTGGATGTTGCATTTTTCATCTGATTTTTATTGTTATTTTCACTGTCAGATGGATTCACTGGCACATCCAGCCGTTCTGTTGTAATGGATTTTCTTCCTATTTCTTCAAATGGAAAAAATACTTTTTATAAAAAATAAAAAAATAAAATTGTTCTGTGTTCAGAAACACACACCAGTTTCACATGAATCTGCCAGATTCCCAGAAAAGGTCCGAATTAAGTGCTGGAAAGCCTGTGACTGGAGCAGAAGAAATAGTTTTTCAGTGACCTACTCTTTCTCTGGAAAAAACACAAATGCACACAGACTGAAGAAGTCAGAAACGCAGCAGAAGTTTTTCACCGATTAAAGATGGCAGAACCTGATCAACAGCCTGCAGATAAGAGACGACGCATTATTTGGACTCTGCTGCTCTTTGTAATCTGATCAGATGGGCAAGTTAAACATGGCGCAACGAATCACTGACTCATCCTGATGGGGAAATAGAAAAAAAAACTAAATTTCGCCACGGCAGCGTGACAAAGAGAGAGTGATTGCAAACGGTTGTACGTTGGCAGAATGAAAGCAGCATTCACTCTGCAAACACAGAGGCTGCACTGCAAAAACAAACTCTCACCAAGCGGCTTTGTCTAGTTTCTGCTGCAAATACCGTTGTACATTTGAAATAAGACAAAACTAACTTGCAAGTAGTTTTTCAGAAAGATATAGGAGCTTGTTTTAAGTCCTTGGTATTGATGAAAAAATATTAGTACAATGACAAATTATTTCACTAGTAACATGACATTTTTCCCATGTTGTAAGTGAAGTAATCTATAACTTTTATAGCAATATTATGGAAATATTGACTCAAAATAAGTTCATATCTTGCTAAAAAGTTAGTTTTTGTACTGAGATATTTGCACAAGAAAATAGACAAAAACACTTGGAAACATTTTGTGGTTTTTTTGGTCAAAGTAACTTTTCAACAAGAGACAGACTTGTGTTACACTGCAAAAACAGAAAATCTTATCAAGTATTTTTGATCTAGTTTCTAGTGCAAATATCTTTACATTTGAAATGAGACAAAACTAATAAGTAACTTTTTAACAAGATTTTAGTGTTAGTTTTAAGGAAGTAATTTCTTAATACTGATTAAAACTGCTAGTTTTCCTTTCATACTACTTCACTTAAAAGGTAGGAAAACGTACTTTTATCAGTGAAATAATTTGCTGAGGAAAAAAAAACTTTTAAATCAATATTAAGGAATTATTTACTTAAAATAAGCTCCTATATTTATGCTGAAAAGCTACTTGTATGTTAGGTTTATCTTATTTTAAGTGTACTGAGATATTTGCACTAGAAACTAGATCAGAACTACTTGGTAATATTTTGTGTTTTTGCAGTGTGTGTGACGGCTTCCTGCTCTCTGGCCTGTTGGTTTAAATCCAAGAAATTCATAAAAAAATGTTCAGTCCTTGATAAAAGCGGAGCAAAAAGCAGGCAAACAGGGAGAGCTTGAATCTTTCACCTAGATTTTCTGATATCTCAGCGGACGGGTTGGGCCTTCAGCTGAGCTTCAGTTTTCGTTGCTAAATAACGGACGATAGACAGGAAACCACACACGGCGTCACTGCTGTCGCCTTTAATCGAGACAGGAAGAGGAGCACGACGAGATAACTTTATAGATCTTTCTGTCCTGCATTAGGGGAGTTTAGGCATACTTTTATTTCATTTAAGTGACAAATTGCCATAAGGGGAAAAAGGCATGAAAACATGCAGTAGTGGAATTAATCTGCCAGTGGATTGATTGTGTATTAATTTATTAAATATGACTGCACATCTTTTCTTTTCTCATTGAAGTTACTTGTATCGTACTTAGACGTTCTACTCAAGTAAAAGTAGAGAAATAAAAAGTACAGTGCCATAAAACATGTAAGTTACTCAGATAAATGTAGCTGGTACTTCTGTCACACCTGCATGTTCATGTTCTTTGCAGAATAATTTTAATTCAGCCACATTAAATCACTTTCGACCATAGAAAGACAACATGACTGACTTTGACATCCTGATTCTTTTGAGCCGTTGTTTTATTCTCTATTGTGCAAAACCAGCAGCGCTTTAGCTAGATATACATTTGAAGGCCACAAAAAGACCCACAAAGATGTTCTGTTTTCAATCATCACATATCGCAGTTGTACCTCCGAAGAGCCGGTAGCAATTGCTTTTACGCAAAATTTACGTTTTCACGTCGTTACGTTTCCATTTGGGTCTAAAATGCTTCTAAAAACAACCCAAGCACATTAAAAAGAACACCCAGCTGTTGGTTTGTCAATAAGTTCAAGTTTTTTAGTGTTTGGAAAATGAACAGTTTCAAAAACCTCCCAAATGTTAAGTCACATACGACAGGTTACCTAGCAACCGCAGTCAAGCCCACACCGTTACCTAGCAACTCCAGCTGAACTCCAGCACCTTTGGTCAGCTGGTTTTATGTGCCGTACAATGGCTGCTTAAAAAAACAAGTGTTTTGTCATCTTAGCGCAACTGCACTGCAAAAACATAAAATCTCACAAATTATTTTTTGTCTCTTGTGCAAATATCTTAGCACACTTGAAGTAAGACAAAACTAACTTAAAAGTAACTTTTCTGCAAGATAAGTTAATTTATATTAAATCAATAACTCATTAATATTGATATGAAGTAGTTGATTCATTGGCAGATTATTTAATTTATGGATTACATATTTTATAGTGAAATAGTTTGCAATGTGACTAATAGTTTTTAGAAATAAATCACATTCTTGCTGTTAAGTTATTTTTTAGTTTTGTCTTATTTTAAGTGAACATTTTGCACTAGAAACTAAACAAAGTAACTGGTACTAGTTTGTGTTTTTGAAGCGTAAATAATATGCAGATATTTTCATTAAATGACAACCTGTCTTATTCCATTCAGATTTTCCTTTTCACTAGTAATTTTTCATCAGTATTAAGGAATTATTCACTTAAAACAAGATATTTATTCCTTGCAAAGTTAGTTTTGGTAATATTTTGTTGTTTTTTAGTGTCACAGCTTCTTTCAGGAGGATAACGCACCCAGCTGATCTCTCAATGTTTTATTGGAGGCGGTAATGAAGTCATTGCCCTTCAGTGGCCTCTGCGGTCTCCAGATCCCAGTCCAGTAAATCACCCGGATGGGGAAAATCTTCCTGGATGTGCAGCTGACTAAACCTGGGTCAAACCCAACAGCAGCAAGCTGTACCTAATAAAATGGCCATCAGTTTTTATTTTCCTCACTAAAGTTTTATTATTTCAGCTTCTTGAACTTCTGCTTTTTACTACTACCTGAGTAAAAATATGCTGAAGTTGTAGTGTAGTTTTCTGCTTATAAGCGGTTTTATAATAATAGTGAAGGTATTTGTTGTGAATGGGCCGCGCGCGTTCCCGCTGTGGAACAGTCACGTGACTGCGCGCCCCCGCGGCAGAGGCGGGCGGAGTCTGCGCGCACCGCCTTCATGAGGCAACATTGTCTCGGTAAAAAGCTCTGATCCAGCGTGGCACTATTTTTTTCCTTTACGCAAAAACTAACCAAAAAACTCCGTTTTCAGCAGAGAAGACTCTGGTCTTTTTGGACTAAGCAGCAACTGGAGGAACTCTTATGTGATCCACCCGAGGACTAGCGGGGTAACTTCAGTAGAAAAGTGACATTTTGGTGGATTTCTCGACGCGACCGGGTCCCGCTCGGCGCTGATCAGAGAGGCTCGACTCCAGCCCAACCGTCCTGACATGGACACAGCGATCATACCTGAAAAGAAAAGGTAACGTCGCGGCTAGCTGATGCTGCCCTGTGGGGTTAGTCTGGTTTTTAGGGCACTTTAAGAGCTTTGGTGTTTGGTTTTGATTTGTTTTTGCTGCCAGCCGTGACATTACGGCCTTAATTTCAAGGTTAAATGCTAGTTTCCTCTTCATTCGTCTCGGTGCTCTGCTAGCTAGCGCGACTAGCATTTTAGCATGCGGCTAACAGCGGCTTTTCGCCATTAAAAACTACATTTTTAGCATGTTTACCATGAACAAATAATAATTTCAGATTCTTAATTGTTTATTCAGTTGGTCCAGGTTACCCATGTGTCTGATTTAAGGCTTCCGTCACCTTTTTCTGCTTGCTGCGTTTTATTGCGCTAGCCTCGATGCTACAAGAGCTTTATTTACATTTGATTGACAGTAACTCACCTGTGCGGGTGTTTGGTTTGATGTGGCAGTTTTGACAGCGTCCGGTAAACAGCTGTGTTTAGTTTCAAATGAAATATTAACAGCTCTGAGTTCAGGTGTGGTTAGATAAGTCATTTTTGTTTGTTTTTAGCCACCGAAAATGGCCAGAAGTTAATTCTGTTGGTGGGATTACATCTGCGCACCAGTACAAGGTGGAAAGAACTTATTTACGGCTGCTGACGCTGTGTGCCAAAGGTCAAGATGTTGACCACAGGTGCTTAGCGGATGAAGATTCCCGAAATAGGTGAATGAGTTTCAGATTAATGCAGCGGTTTCAAATCCCCCACTGCTTATAAATGAGTTTTAGACATAACTTAATGCATTTATCTATGCAATTTATGTATCGAGACATTTCTTTAAGGTGTAAACTTAAGATTCAACACAAAAACATTGATTTTTTTTTCTGTACATATTAATTAAATGCATCCAAAGTAATCAATTTTTAATGCACCAATCTCCAACATGCAATTTAAAACAAGTTTTTGAGTTTAGTTCAGATAATAGGTTAGTGTTTATTATTATTTTATTCATAAATGGAGGATAATCCTTATTATCTATTAAGGAACCCTTAAGTATGTACTTTTAAATCAACATCAGCCATGAAAATCCTGGTTGTTGCATTTCTGATTAAAAAAAGTGTAGATATTAGGAAAAAGGACAAAAGATCAATGTAGAAAACTGGCTACGTCCAGTGGTTGGGGCGCTCTGCAGTCATTCATCCAGCGACCCACCGTGTTTTTTAGTTAAAAATGTTTAAAGTTGACAGGAAATCTGAAAATATCACTTGATAATTTTGTGTTATTGGAAGATTAATAAATGAACACCAACTATAAAGTCTCAAAATGCAAACATAAAAAAAGTCTGCTAAGCCTGGTGGAGGCACAAGTAGAGCCTTATATTACACTGGGAGAAACCCTGAAAGATGCATTTGTTGATATGAATTTGTCAGAAGTTACAATAATCATTTCAAAACAATCAAATAAGAAGAAAAGAAAATCTTATATTGACTGACCATAAACCAGCCAAACTTTCTTGACCTTTAAATGCTGGTGGTTGTTGCATTAATTATAGTTTTAGGTGGAAACTGATTAACAAAATCCTTTGGCTTTGCATTTATTTGACTTGGAGCTATTGTTGTTGATTTTAATATTCAAACTATTTGGTCATTTTGCTGCTCGTGATTCCAAGGCAACACTGAAAAACAAAGTTCGTAAATCAGAAAAATGTCGTCTCTGAATCCTTCTTTGACAGTTTTGTTTGAACTGATTCGTCTCACTTGTATTAAAGATTTTTAATACAACGCCGGAAACATAAATTGTGCAATCCCAACTCTAGAGACGGGTAGTTGTTTCCTCAAAATATTAGTCAGGACTGGTCGGCTGCATCAGATGTAACTTGAGCTCAGCTGTGCTGGTTTTAAACCGTTCCTTCATTGAACAATCTTGAGAGAAAGTCATTTAAATTTAATCACACAGACATTTAAAATAGTTTTTCTAATTGTGTTTCTTAATTAATAGAAATGCCACCATTGTAAAAAAAATTTTTTTCATCATTAGCGAAATCTTGACAAAGTTTTGTGCACATTTGTAAACAAAACGCAACTACTAGAGAGGAAGATCTCCCTTTTAACAGGAAAAAACTTCCAGCAGAACCAGAACCAGACGGCCTTACACAAACAATAAACAGTAGAGCAGATCCTTTCTATGTTTGTGGTTATTATTAAGCTAATTTTAATTTATAAAGCAATTAATTGCTTATTGCAACAGGCTTAAGCATTATTAATGCCAGACCATTAGAGAACTGAGAGGAAACAAAGTGTAATGAAAGTAAATATCTCAAATTGGAGAGCCTATAAGAAGAAAGTCTGATAACTAGAAGATCAGAACAGATGGAGAGGAAACCAGCTGTTCATTTGGTAAAAAAAAGTTAGATTGCCCTGCAGATCCTTTACTTTCCATCCCAAGCTGTTGCCTGTTGGATTTTTATTTTGTCAACTTGCTGCTCTGAACCTGAAACCCGACTGTCTGTTTGGGTCAACATCCGTTTGATTACAATAAATAGGTGTTGGGATTTGCTGCAATCTGGTTCGCTGCAGTTTCAGCTGGTTTCTCAGAGGTGTCTTGGTAAGACTCATCTCATCCCTTAATCATAGGGGCTTGACGTCAATAGGAGTGGCCAAGTGTGTGGTGGCTCAATGGCTGGCAGTTAGCAGCTTGCTCAGAGGCTTTCAGGCAGCAGGCGGGCTTCAACACTGTCAAGAAACCCGGTTCTTGTGGGCGCAGAGCACAGATGTGTTTTGGTTTGTGGTTGATTTGATAAATGTGTTCAACACATTAGAGCTAAGTTTACGATGTTTTAGAGAAGATAAACTACATTTTGACAAAAAATAACCAGTTTGGGCTTCTTCAGTTCCCATTAACAGACTTTAAGGTAGAAAGCTGCCAGTTTTGCACCTTTTTCCTTGTTGATCTGTGATAAATTTAGCTCAGAATGCCTCAAACAATGCGAGGAAGGATGCGTGTGAATTGATGCTTGACGTCCAGGAGGGATGATGTTGCATTAACTCCGTCTTTCCTTCCTCACACTGATGACTTCAGAGTCTGTTGAACAAAATCTGAGCACATTAATCTGTTTTTCCATTGTCACTTTTAACATGCATTGCATCTCTTATCTGTGCCTAACCTTTTAGATTTATCCACTATTTATTAATGAACAGCAGAGTTGACTAAAAGTTAAAATTTTGCTGGATGATAAATTGACCCAGATATTATTGCTATAAATCATTCTGTTGTTTTGAGACCATTTTCAAATAATATAATAGTTCAATTCTAATGGGTATTTAACACAGCAGCTGGAAGATATTTTATATATTCAAAATAAATAACCAAAACAACAAATTAATTATTGGGTATCTGTAAACAAATTATCCTTCAAAAGAAAAGCTAGTGCAATTAGTGGATTAATGCTTATTTACAGCTTATAGTGAAACTTTGTTAGTTTCTTCAGCAGGTTTTTAATTTGGTTAGAAATGAAAGTTTTCTCTGTGACACTTTGGGAACTGAAAGTATTTCGGTTTGTACGTGACGACGGTTTAACTGAAAGCTTGTGATCTCGACTTGAGTGATTCATAATTCAGATTATTGTTGCCGTTCGTCAGTTGGATTAATCTTTCCTTAAATCCCAGCTTGTGTTTTTTTTTTTTTTGGATGCAGCAGCAGCAGTTTTTTGTTCAGAAGGATAAACGGATGCTTAATTTTAATTCTGGAAGGATTCGACTCCTTAATCACATGCAGATATTTTACACCAATATGTGTCAGAAATGATCATTAATGGGAATTTAATGGGCAACGTGATGTAAGGAATAGAGAAGATGGTACATTTTCAAAAAAACAGAACTAAAAACTAGTCAAGTGTTGACTCCTATCAACATTTCACATTTTTGAACACAACAAAATATTTATTACCATCTTTAAATGTAACTTTCGCTCATTTTGCAAATTGCAGTGTTGAGGTTTGTGGCAGATTTGATCTCTTGTTTTTGAAAAGCTTTGATTAATAAGAGGTCAACTTGTTTTTGTTTGTTCTTTTTTTAGCTTCTCTTTTGGAGACGATTATTACTTATTAGGAAGAGGAGTGATGTCACACAGTGTGTGTAAGAAAGCAATCGGCATGAAGCTTTCACTGTTAAATAAATATTTTAATTGTAAACAAACTTAGCCACTGTGAATCTTTAGCTAAGTTAAATATGGACCTTACCTTTAAGATCTTCAGAAATCTGCCTGCATTTCCAAACCTTTGGCTTTAAAAACAAAACTAGAGAAACTGCAGCCTTCCTGTTATCTCGTGAAAGTCCTGCTCTCTCTCCTAGCTTGACACGTCTAAATATTTTGTGGCAAAAACACATTTTGTAAGCTGTTTTGTCCTAAATCCAGTTAAATAAAACTCATTTAGATGCAAATGTTACATAATAGACATAAACTAATAGTTTTTGATGAATATCCACAATTATAACATTCCTTTAAGGTTTTTGAGGAAAATAAAACAAACTTTTTCAAAAAGAGGATGGAAACTTTTTTTAATGGGATGTTTATATTGGTGGAGAATTATTTAAAAGGAAAGTGGATTAGAAAAAGTTTTACTGGTGCTTTTTGTTGGTTCAAATTCAATGCTGTTGAAAAACTGATAAAATCCACATTTGTTAAAATATTCATTTTTTTATGTGTTTTAAAAAAGAGTTTTTTTAAAGTGCCTTGTTTCTATAAGGCCAATTTATTTTTGATACATCAAATTGTGCAATTTTAAGGCTAATGCAGCTACTGAGGGGAGTTTCAGAAAGTGGAGACCTTTCACTGTTCTTCCCTCAGCAAAGCCATCCACACTGAAGAGTGTTGTTCCCTCAGCCAGGTAGTTCTCAGTTATCAAGGTTTCCCCCGAGAAAACTTGCTCAGCCTGATGGTCATTCATCCAACAGCCCACCGTGTTTTTGAGCTGCAAAAATGTTTAAAGTTGACAGGAAATTAGAAAATATTACTTGATAACTACGTGTTATTGGAAGATTAGTACCTGAACTCCAACTATAGTGTCTAAAAAATGAAAACATTTTTTTAAAAACAGAAATAAAGAAGCAATGATAAGCCTGGTGGGGGCACAAGAAAAGCCTGGTGGCCTGCCAGGCTGGGGAAAACCCTGCAGTTATGCTCTGTTGGTATTTTTCAAGCTTTTGACTTAAATCTCAACCAGATTCTTTTCATTTTGATAGGCTTGTTTGGTGTAAATGGCAACCATATTTCCTAGAAAAGCTAATCTGATCTACCTGATAGTCACCCCACAGAAAAACCCATTGTGTGTGTCCTTGTCTGCTCTCTTGTGGGTGCAACAGTGTTTCTACACTTTGGGTTATATAATGGGACGACTCTTATCATCACCCCTGTAAGCAGGACGGAGCGATAGGGAGAGCAGCTCTCCTCTAAAGCGGGTCAGTAACTGAATACACAAACAACACTGGAAACGACAGTCAATGTGATTCTCATGGGGGCTGTTTGTATTTTTTATTTATTTTCACCCTCCCACAACTTTTGATCCACTTGGTCACATCTGTGAGTTCAAACTTTGTTTACATTTCAACCCTCCGAGATAAATAAAGTATTTGCTGACGCAGGCTGGATTGCCAACCAAAAAATGTGAAGTGTAGAGCCGCTGGCTGCGGTCGCCTGGATTATTACTGTTATGCAACAGCAGAGCTCTGCTGTCTTTCAGAAATAGCTTCTTGTCTTTACTGCGTCCGACTGTTATCTTATTAAAAGCCTTAAGTTTGAAAATCTGCAAGGTGGAAAAACCTGATCTGGTGCTTTGACCTCATTGGAATCAAGTCGCTGCGTGTTATTATAAGCAGATATATAGGTCAGTGGGATGTTTCAGGGTATTTAAAAACGTGCTGCCGTCTCTGAAATGTGTTCATTTGAACCCCTGCCAGCAGGTATTAGTTGTTATTATGAGGTCAAAGTTCTTGAGGACGTTTAGAGGTCGTCTATTAGGCGGCTTCACAAAATGGCTTCCAGGTTTTCCACCAGCTCACGATGTAATCTGAGGTTGCAGTGGATGTGTTTTTATGTGAGTGCAGGTTGGAACGATTAACCTGATTAATCGGGATGAGTTGATTATTGATCATATACTCCCTGGACATAAACAATGTTTCTGTCTTTCTTTCCCTTCTGTAGGAAAGGAAGCTGCGAATCATTGTAGCTCCGAAACACAATCTGCAAAGGGCAGAAACGATTAATCGGATTGATTGCGATTAATTGATTATTGAAATAATTGTCAACTAATTTTGTACTCGATTAATCGCTAACTGGAGCAGACAGACTTAAAAAGAGACGGTTTGCTAAAATATAAACAGATGTATAAACATAAAAATATCTACATTTTCCATGTAAGATGCAAGTTTTGGTCTGTAAATATATTTTAGTGCAAAATATATTTATTTTTTTGTACAGTTTTGGCTAATTATTGCTTTGTGTTCTGGCAGCAATTTACCTTTTTTAGAGTCTGTTACTCCAGTTAACAATTAATTACTAAATTAGTCGACAATTTTTTTAATAATTGATTTAGCACAATTAATTTGATTAATTGTTTTAGCCCTATTGCAGATTAAATTATTTTTATTCTTCCTGGAAATAAATATGTTGTACCCAGAACTCCTCAAGTAGTTTTAGCTTGATTTACGTTTTTTAAAAGTACCTTTTGCTTTCCAATTATTAATAATCACCAGATTAGCAATTTGCTGTATTGATGTTCAGTCAAATGTAACGAGTATTTATTAGCTGCAGATGGTACAAATGTTTTAGCGTATGCTAAAAGAATTTTCATTGTATTTTCTTCAGTAAAATAATTATTTTATTGAAGAAAAATGAATGGAATCATTTGTTTACTTGCATATTTTAATGTATTTCTACTATTGTATAAAAGTCTAAAGTGCCTAACTGAGTTTCTATTTGATTAATCACAAGAAGACCTGAAAATCTTTTAATCTCAGCAGAAAAATTATCTTTGCTGCAAAGCAGTTTGAACATCAGATGCGTGTAATGGAAAGTTCTGGTTCCAAACCTGAAGTCTCCTGTTGCTCTGCTAATCTTAATCAGCTGCTCTAGTTTCAGAATAACAATAACGCCCTGGGTCTGTTGGTCACACCGGATCCACTTTAATTGGGTTTTCGTTTGGATGCAGAGTTTTTTAAACTGTGCAGCTCCAGTGTCGTCTGAATCGGGCCTGAAGTGCCGACAGATCTCAGAGTCGACAGGAAAGAATCAAAGCTTTTATCTGAAGATCTCGTTTATCGGCGTCACTGATGCTGCAGAAGGTGATCAATCTGTCAGAACTTTGCAGGTTTCTCTGTGTCTCTCCTGTAAATGTGTCAACGATTGGTGCAACGCTATTCCTTTTGGTAAATCACATCCGTGGGTTTATGATGTTTCTGAAAATGCTTCCTGGAAATATGTTGTACCCACAACAACATATTTCTGGGTACAACATACCCAGAAATGTTTTGTTGTAGCTGTTTGCTAGAGATGCAAATTCAGAAACCAATTTTTTAGCTCAGTTGGTCTAAAGATTGTTTAAATTATGAGACTAACAAGGAAAATACATTTAAGACAATTCTACAGGTTCCATACGTACAATAAAGAAAGAAGGAAAGAAACCGTTTTCATTTACTGAAGACTTTTATCATAAAAGTTTATCAGAAAAACAATAAATTTTGCAAATGGAAACTATTGAGCTCATTTTAATATATTTATATTCCATTCTGCATCTAATTCTGTCAGTCTATATTTAAACAAAAATAGGTTTGTGTATCAGCTTAGCTCAGCTGCCTGGCTATTAAATTACAAAATATAAAATAATTATCTGACATGCGAACAGCGGATGCAAAACACTAAACACATTCTAACATTGTTCTTTGAGCATTTTGAGTCGAGTAGCAAATGTGATTCTCTAGAATCGATTATTTTCTGGTAGAGAAGCCCAGAGCGTGTTTTTGTGACTAATCCACGGCCGTTCTCCACGCAGGGTGAGTTCGGAGCGCAGGAAGGAGAAATCGAGGGACGCGGCGCGATGCCGGCGCGGGAAGGAGTCGGAGGTTTTCTACGAGTTGGCCAAGCAGCTGCCCATCCCCCACAGCACCAGCTCCAACCTGGACAAGGCCTCCGTCATGAGGCTGACCATCAGCCACCTGCGCTTGCGGAAGCTGCTCTGCATCGGTCAGTAGGTCATGAGGTCAATCTCACCAAGTCATGATGGAGTTAAATGTATTTTTTTTGATGGTCTATGACTGAATGTTGCTGCTGTCAAAGGTCCAGAAACAATCTTCTTTCTGACACCAAAAGCAAGAAGAAATGTGACTATTATGACTAAACTGGACCCAATAAATCCACTTGATCATATTTTTTACATTTATTTATAGTTTCTGTGCAACTGTGGAGAAAATATTTTCTAAAAAAAAAAAAAATTTTTAGCTCAGAAAATTAAATGAGAAAGAAATCAAATCAAAATGATAAATGCTCAATAATACAATTAAGAATTGTTTAAAACTATGTATATTTTTTATTTATTAATTTTTCTTAATATTCTAATAAAAATGTCTAGAATTTATAGATTTAATTAAAATGATTATAATCAAGAAGGTAAAACTTAAAAAAGGAAAATCAGAGTAAACTAATTCAGGTAGCTTAAGTTGGCCAACATTGAAGCACTAATTACACGTTTAAATGTAAATAAACAAAAAAAATATCTTGATTCTGCAGATAAATCAGTAAATGTCTCAGATTACAGTTTCTGATTACAGTTGCATAATCTAATTTCTTTATTCTCCCTCCTTATCTCTTCCAGATGAGCCAGTGGCAGAGGAGAATACAGAACTGGATATCCAGCTAACCGGCTCCTACCTGAAGGCTTTAGACGGCTTCCTGGTGGTTCTGTCTGAAGACGGCGATATGATCTACATCTCAGAAAACGTCAACAAGTGCCTCGGCCTGGCGCAGGTTGGTCCGTTTCACGGGATTTTATGTTGAAATCGGAATTTTCAGATAAATGGAGACCAAATGATTTCTGTTTCCCAACTGAACACTTCAATGTCGCCTACACTGCAAAACACAAAATCTGACCAAGTATTTCTGGTCTAGTTTCTAGTGCAAATATCAATAAACTTATTTATAAATGACTTTTCAGCAAGATATTGTAGCTTGGTTTTAATGAAATGATTACTTTAATATTGATAAAGTTCCAGTTCCACTTGCAGATAGTTTCTTGTTTAACTTGGGAAAAATGTCTTGTAATAAGTTAAATAATCTGCCAATGGAACTAGCAGTTTTTCTTTAATATTAAGAAATTATTTACTTAAAACAAGTATTTCTTATTTCAAATGAACTGAAATATTTGCACTAGAAACTAGATCAAAGTTCCTTAGTAAGACCTAAAATAATCCCATCGTTATTTAGTTTTACTTATCAATTAATACAATCCTGATAATAATAATAATGTGACTCTTAATACATCAAATATTGATGCATATTCTTAAAACAAGCTCTTATATCTGTCTGAAAAGTTGTTAGTCGGTCAGTTTTGTCTTATTTCAGGTGCACTAGAGAGCAGACCAAAATATTTGGTGAGGTTTTGTGTTTTTGCAGTAATAACTGGTTCATGTCTGCCTGAAACGTTTCAGTTTGACCTGATTGGACACAGCATGTTTGACTTCACGCATCCCTGCGACCAGGAGGAGCTGAGAGAGATGCTGGTCTACAGAAACGGTGAGCAGGTTCCACTTCAGGACGCGCCGATTCTCTTCTCCGTTTCCGATACCGATGCAGATATCTGACATTTAGTATCGTCCAATACGATGCAGAAAAACAACTGACTCAAAACGTTGCTTTATTTTTAAGTGTAACGAATTGCACGTTTATTTGGTAACTCAATGCAAATAAAGAAATTGACAAAAACAAAACATGTAAAAAAACAACAAAAAAAAACGTTATTTCAAAAGGTTAAAAAAGTAGAATTAGAAATAATGAATCAGAGAATAAAACCTAGAACTAGACTGAATAGATCTACTCTTAATGATCAAACTTATAGATATTAATATTGGATCTGTGCAGCTCTAGTTTAATTTAAATCTGCCTCAGTCTGAGCTGTAGCTGCAGCAACTCTTCCTGTTTCTGTTTGTTTTTTATCTCGCCACAGAGCAAACCCTTTAGACTTTTATGGCTTCTCTTTATGCAAATGAGATCAGCAGGTCGCAGTTGTAAAGAAAACCCATAAAACCGTTGGTAGTTGGAGATAAAAACCCTCGCTGCTCTTTTACGACTCTTAACCGACTCCATTTCTTTTCTTTTGCGCCATCAGGCTCCAAGAAAGTCAAGGAGCCGAGTACGGAGCGCAGCTTCTTTCTGCGGATGAAATGCACGCTGACGAGCCGGGGGCGCACCGTCAACGTAAAGTCCGCCACCTGGAAGGTAAAGCACAGAGAAATATCTGCAGGAAAGCATTAAAGTATGAAACAATCTGCCTCCTGCTGCAGGTTGATTGGATTTCAAAAGGGAGGATTTTAATAAAGCTTCAGGTTAAAGTGATAACTCAGTTATCCTCTCAATAATCACATCAAGCTTTCAGAAAGTGCTTTGAAGCTTCTCTGTTTCACTGGAGCTGCATAACAGCCAGAGGTGGACAGAGTTCCCAAAATTACCCAAGATACAGAAAATACTGCAACATATCTTCACTAAAGTAAAAGCAAAAAGTAACCGTTCAAGAAATTACTTAAAAATAAAAAATATCCTGTAAAACATCAACACAAGTACTGAGTAACTGATCAAATTAACAATCATTTCCTGTTTAAAAATTACCCAAATATGAAGTTAAGTGGAAATTTTGGATTTTTAAATATCAAAATGACAATAATTTATATAAATGACAAAATCAGGCTGAAGAAAGTTTTTCCAAATCTGTTTCTTTTACCAAATAAATAAAACTGCAGGTGTGTGTTTTTGGTTAAAACATGTTTGTTCTTCATTCAGTGGGAGGAAAATCCAGAAATTTCATCCAGTAAGAGTAAAAATACTTCATGATAAAATTATTGGAATAAAAGTAAAAAGTACGGCGTAGAAAAGGTAATTTTTTTCCCAAAAGTTTACTCAAGTAGACGTAACTAAACGTATCTGGTTCCTACACAAAACCTGATAAGAAACTGTTTTATTTGTGGTGAATATGAATCAAGTTTTATAAAACCTTCAAGTATTGAGCTTTAATAAGAAACTTTCTGCTCTCCGTATCTGCAGATAACTGGGTGTTTATTGGATTACTGTCAGTAGAAATGATCATTTCTTTTATCTGATCATTACTTATTGGCACTGTTTGAAGGCCTAAACATGTCAAACTTAATTCTTTTTAAATAAGAACAGAAGTGAAATCCTGAAGATTTGTTGCAAAATTAAACTTTTAACATCAACATGTGAAAATTCAGTCGTTTCTGCTCAACTTAAAATGAATACAGTGCAGAACAGACATGCTGACAGTTTTTTGATTGGAAAGCCAAAGATGATTAATCTGCAGGCTAGTTTAGCAATTAATCAATTACTAAACTAGTTAGTCAATAATCGATTAATCAGATTCGTCGTTTCAGTCCTAATCGAAACTCTTTTATCCGCCATGTTTGTTTTGAAACTGTTTGTCAGCAGGAATCTTTGATTTTCCTGTCCGGACTGGTTTTCTGCAGGTGCTGCATTGTTCGGGCCACGTGCGCATTCACAGCAGCGAGCAGAGCGCCGACGGCCACAAGGAGCCGCCGGTCCCATACCTGGTTCTGATTTGCGACCCGATCCCTCACCCCTCCAACATTGAGGTTCCTCTGGACACCAAGACCTTCCTCAGCCGCCACACGATGGACATGAAGTTCACGTACTGCGACGAGAGGTCAGGGTTGTTTCTAGCATGGTGCAGTAGCGACATCTGGTGCCCAGCGGCGGTACTGCAACAAATGGTTTGTTTGCAGGATCACTGAGCTCATGGGTTACGATCCAGAGGACCTGCTGAACCGTTCTGTGTACGAGTATTACCACGCTCTGGACTCGGACTATCTCACAAAGACTCACCATCACTGTAAGCTCAATGGAAACACCCTCTGCTCATCTATTATTATTATTATTAATCTGTTATTGTTGTCTGTTTGATATTTACTACGGACGATTAGAGCCATACTCGGAGAAAAGTAAAAAATACAGGAATAAAGATATATCATAAGTCTCATTTTGAGAAGAGTATAAATAATGAGAGAGTAAAGTCGACAAAAGTAAGTTTTCAAAAAATGTGTGAATAAATCCAACAAAAATACAAGAATAAAGCTGGAAAAAACACAACTCCAAATATCAGAGCTCCAAATATTTCAAGATTCGTCACAATATGAGAATAAATTTGCATTAATAAAAGAATAAAGTCAAAATATGAGAGTAAAGTTACATTACAAGAAATGCGTAGTATTGTGACTTTATTCTCACAAAGATGCTTTTATTCTTGAGGTTATTTCTGTGATGTTTTAAATTATTAACATGCCTTTAATACTTCATGGTTTTTAAAATGTAACAATTTAAACAGTCTTGTACAGAGAAAGAATAAATAAAAGTACATACACATAAATTTATAAAGTTTATAAAGGACGAGGTAGAGCAGCTTATTTTAGACTAGTTATTACTTTATTCTGCTTCCAATGTTATGAGGAAAATCTCATAGCTGAAGTTATGCATTTCACATATTTATCATTTATATTTTCACTTTTAAGTCTCAAATTTCCCACATTAATATCAAAATACTGCCAAGTGTCAGAGATAATGATGAAAATGTCAGTCCAATATCCATTTACGGCCTTGTTTTTGTTCTAGGACTTGATGTTGTTGATCATTTATGATGTAAATCTTGTTTTCTGTTAGTGTTTGCGAAGGGCCAGGTCACCACAGGTCAGTACCGGATGCTGGCGAAAAGAGGCGGCTTTGTGTGGGTCGAAACTCAGGCCACCGTCATCTACAACAACAAGAACTCGCAGCCTCAGTGCGTCGTCTGCGTCAACTTTGTGCTCAGGTACCTGAAAGACTTCAAAACTGGCAGATTTTAATTAGGAAAAAAGCAACTAGAGATGAAGCTCAGCTTGGTTTGATCCGTCTGTCCTACAGCGGGATCCAGGAGGAGAAACTGATCCTTTCTTTGGAGCAGACGCAGGAGATGAAGCCGGTGAAGAAAGAGGAGGAGAAGGAGGAGCAGGATGAAGTCGAGGCTGAAGTGAAGAAGAGCGAGGCCATCCAGGCGGACGATGAGGAAGAGGAGGAGACCCCGGATCAGAAGCTGCACCTGAACTTCCAGGATCTGGTGATCAAGCAGCAAGAGCAGGATTGTCTTTACAACCTGCTGAAGGGGCATCCAGACGCCCTGATGCTGCTGGCGCCGGCAGCCGGAGACACCATCATCTCCCTGGACTTCAGCCGCCCCGGTTCGTACTCGCATCTACTGCTGAAACGATTAATCGCGATTAATCGTTTATTGGGGGAAAATTCAACTAAAGCAATCAATTAATTGTAAACTGGAGTATACAGACTAAAAAAAAAAAAAAACAGGTAATCTGCTGAAAAAACAACACACTTAGAGGTAATTAAGTTAAAATACTAACATAAAAACTTTTAAAAATACAGTTTGTAAAAACAAAATCATGTTTTCAAGCAGAAGAATTATTTGAAAAACTGAAATAAAATAAAATTTCAGGAGGGAATCTGAAACTAATGCATGTTCGCATTGATCCAATACCAATACTGACTTGGTATCGGTATTTTGGATCCATTCCAGTAAAAATATTCAGAAAAAACTTCTGTTAATTATCTTTTGCATCCAGTTATCAAACACTTAATCAAAAGATGTTTCCTTCGGTACAAGCAATCAAACGTTCACTAAAGTAAAGCTATATTATTATTACTTTATGTATTAAACGTTTATCATGTTTAAAAAGTAATAGAATTGTTTATTTTAATGCATTTTTAGTGTTGCATAAAATAAGTTCACGTGATTAAAAGGTCAGCAGGATTCTTGCATTTTGATTTGATTAATCAATTGATTAATCAATGAATAATTGATCAGAACAATCAATTAATCATTAGTTTTATAAATGTAGTTGTAAACATTATTGGTGTTTGCAGTATTGCATTTATGGCTGAAGTGATTAATAGTAATGAATCTATTATTGAAATGATTATCAAATAATTTATTGATTAATCGTCAACTGGAGAATACAAACTCAAAAATTAAATTTTCTGAAGTTATTTGAATGCTTGTTTTCCTAACATCACATGAAAAGGCTTAAAATAAAAATCTGCAGAATTTATCCAACTAATCGTCTTAATAATCAATTAACAGTTTGTCGGCTTACGGTCCGGTTAGTTGAAACAATCTGATCGTTTCAGGCACAGAGTCAGAGACTCACCTGCTGAAGGACGTCCCTCTCTACAACGACGTGATGCTGCCCTCTTCTGGCGACAAGCTGCCGCTGTCTCCTCTGGCGCCCACCGAGCCGCTGGAGCCCGCCAGCAGCCCCGCCGAGGAGGCAAAACCCGACAGCTTTGCTCCGGCTCTGTCCTCTAAACCCCCCAACAAACCCGCAGAAGTACGACTGCGACTTCCTAACGTTCTTCCTAAGCCTCATGTTGAACAGCCACTGACCTGCAGGCGTTTCTGTTTAGGTCGACAATCCTCTGGGCTTCTCTTTCCCCGTGGACACAGATATGAACTCTGATTTTAAACTGGACCTGGTGGAGAAGCTGTTTGCCATCGACCCAGAACCCAAAACTCCCTTCAACGCAGAGGTAAAGATCAGGAGATTCTGGGGTTTTCAGCTCCTTATCTCTGGTAGAAATGAGAAATTATAAATAAAATATGAAGGGCTGAAGCGATTAATCGATTACTGAAATGATCGTCAACTAATTTAGTATTCAACTGTAGTATACAGAATAAGAAATATCTAAAAATAATGTGATTACTGCAGTAATTAGGCCAAAACTGCAAGAAATACATAAAATTTTGATTTAAGATTAAAAAAACAATGATCAAGTAATGCCATGTTGTTGCAATAAATACTAATTTTCTTATTTAAAAGGAATATATTTGTGTAACTTTATGTATACGGTTTAAATGAAAATATTTATTTATCCGATTAATCGTCAGAATTATCGATAGATTAATCCTGAAAGTGGGTCATTTGTGGTCATTTGAAATTATTTTGATCAGCCTCCGAGATGAAAATGTTATTATTGGACATGTAAAGCTAAAAATATGTGGAATATCTGAGCTCACTGTTGCATTTTTAATTGAGTGGATTTTGTAGTTTTAATTTGCCGGTTTTGGCCTCGGAGGCAAAACGTTCCTGGATTAATCGATCATAACCTCCAGCTGATCGTTGCATTAGGACTCTGAGCTGGAGATGTTCGCGCCGTACATCTCCATGGACGACGACTTCCAGCTGCCCTGCCTCGGCCCTGACCAGCCTCTGCCCTGTGGACCAGTCAAAGCCCCGGAGAGCTGCCCGGTCCTCGTCACGCCGGACGTCCACAGCCATCCCAGCTCTCCGTTCAGCGCGCCACAGAGCCGCACGGCTTCTCCGGCTCCTCCAGAACCCGTCGGCACGCCGCCTCCTGCCACCGTGAAGGCAAACGGGTAACTGATGAACGTTCAGGGCGGCTGATACACGATTCCCATCCAGTCGGTTCAGTTCGGCTTTTTCTGGTGTTCTTGATTTCATTCCCAGTTCCAGTTATGAAAGTCTGCTCAGAAATAGACAGAATAGTTCAGAGTGATGTCGCCTAAGGCGGCCATCTTGTTTGAACTTTGAATTCAGGTCAACTTTACGACTAATTGCAAAGGTCAAAAATAAAGTCATAATATTACAGACATGTTAATACGAGAATTGTTTGTCTTTCTCTCTTTCTCTCGTTCTTTTCCTCCTTCCTTCCTGTCAGTTTTCATTAAATCCATATTTAAAGACCAGCTTCTGTGGAAAATACTGGGGATTCTGGGAAACGTAGTCTTAAAGTCAGAGCTCTGAGGCAGCAGTCAGTAACCATGTTGTTGTACTTCAGGGTCGAACAGCCGGAGAAGGAGGTTCCTCTCAGGAATCTGGCTGCTCAGAACATCCGGCGGAAAAGAAAGCTGAGCGAACTGAAGGAGATCATTGAACAGGTTGGTCAGGGAGTTGATTCAACCAGCTTCGTTTTTACAGGACGGTCTTTAAACTTTAAATGTTTGTCGTCTTCAGGGATCTTTGACCCCAGAGCCTGAGAAGGGCAAAAAGCTGAAGGCGACAGAGCCGGGAGCAACCAGGACCATTCTTCTTCTGCCTTCAGGTGAGCAACATGGAAACCCTTAAGACCGAAACGATTAATCGTAATGAATCGATTATTCAAATAATTAAGTTATCGATTAATTGTTAACTGGAGTATAAAGACTATTTCTATGCGGTGCTCTAAACCATTTTATATATTACTTATTTTAAATTATATTTAGGATTCCTAACTGCTTTTTGAACCATTTGGAAGAAAATTTGTTGCACTTTTACATTTACATTTTATATTTATTTTCCTTTGGCTGTTATGCTCCGAAATGCAACAACTGAACAAATTAAAGCTGTTTTCACGTGTTTGACCAAACTTTAGAAGCTATTACTGCAGAGTTGTCAAATAAATTTGTAATCCAGTTCAGTTATGTCTGACTAAAAGTAAAAACTATGTTTTAAGTCAGTTCAGCGATGTTTTTAGGTCGTGGCCGAAACCAAACCTCAGATCTCGGTAATAGATTGTCAGCAGTGCAGATTAATTGTCGATTTAGTTAATTATTCATCAAATGAATTGTCAAATAGCCGATTAATTGTCAAATAGCCGATTAATCGTCAAATAGTCGATTAATCGTCAGAGTAGTTGTTAACGGGAATCTCTCCGGTCGGTCCAGATCTGGCCAGCCGACTGCTGGGCACCACCTCGGACGGCGGCGGCGCCCTCGTCTCGCTGCCGCAGCTCACCAGCTACGACTGCGAGGTCAACGCCCCCTTGCAGGGCCGCCAGTACCTGCTGCAGGGGGAGGAGCTTCTGCGCGCTCTGGACCACGTCATCTGAGCCAGGACTTCACTTCTGGACTAGACTGGACACTACAATTATGCCCTCACATTGTGACTCTTCTTTTTGCCCTTTGACCCCCCACTGCCATTTATTTATGTGTCTGTTGGAGTTTGACTTTAGTCCGGCTGCTGTTTGTGCACCTTACGTGATTTTTGCAGCATTCCACGGCGACGGCAGCATCTTGGTTTCAGTTCGAGAGATTGTCAGACGTCAACTCGCTCTCATTTCTTCCTCTTCCTCCGGGGAGTCTCTCCACACATGGCGCCTTCACCGATGACCCCTCTCCAGCGGGTCGCCAGAGCCTGGCGCTACTGCCAGCAGTGTATTGTAAGCTTCAGTCGCACAACTTATATTTTCTTAAAAAGAAAAAATATTACCAGCAATATATATTAAGCCTTTTTAAAGTAGACGTAGATCTAATGAAAAATGTTATTTTTATTTCTTCCCAGACTTGTATGTTGTACTACCAAAACTGACGTCTTTAGTCCTTCAGTCTGCACTGCAAAAACACTAAATCAAAGTATTTTTTTGTCTCATTTTTAGTGTAAACATCTTAGTTTTGCCTTATTTCAAGTTTACTAACTTGCAAGTGAATGTTCAGTAAGATATAGGAAAGATATAGGAACTTTAATTTCCTGAGGGAGTCTTCCCAAGGGATCAATAAAGTACAAGTCTAGTCTGAAATCGTTTTAATTTAATCCCTTAATATTGATAAAAATTACCTGTTTCATTGGCAGATTATTTCACTTATTACAAGAGAAATAATCTGCTTTTTATCAATATTATGTAGTAGAATTAAAACGAGCTCCTTCATCTTGGTGAAAAGTTATTTGTAAGTTAATTTTCTTAATTTAAGCGAACTAAGATATTTGCAGAAAAAATAGTTTTTGCAGTGATCGTGTCTTTCTGAACCTGAACTGGGTTGAATGTTCTCCATTTTAATGGCCGTCTGTGAGCTAATTACATGTAACCGTGTAGCAGTACATGTCACTTTATTACTTTACTGTAAGTGTGTGTGTGTGTGTTGCTGTACATACGACGGGGAAATTTACATTTTACTCACTTTTTTCACTAATTTCCCTCATGCAGGATTGGGATTATTTTGTTCTACATGAACAGACTTCATGTTTCGATGCCGAGTCTGAGGAACTCGGCGGTTCGAATCGGTGCGATTTCTCCTGTTTTTCTTTCCTTGTGTAATCGTCATCGTGACAGTTGTGACCAGACAGGCTTATTTGCGCTGTTGAATGGTAGTTTAAATACCGTTCTTCCTTGCCATAGTGTTGAGTCTCTCATGCTTCGTTTTTGCTGTTTAACAATAAATGGCTTTAATAATACAAAAAAAGCTGTTTTCAGTTTTTTATTTTACAAAACTGTCCAGGATTTCCTGATTCTTGCACAAATATTGAAATCGGCAGGAAAACCCAGAAATGTTTTGACATATTTTTGGGAAATTAACAGTAAAGCTGCTAACATATGTCCACACTTCCACTTTCATCCTATACAAATCAAAATATTCACATTAATGCATCGAGTTTCACAGTTTTCTCCCTGGCGAACGTCAGGCCGCCAGCGAACGTCGGCCGGCGTCACTCGATGTATTCGGGTGTGACTTGGAGTTGATAGAGCTGGTTTCCTCGCCGTACCACCATGTTGATGGCGTCGCTGCTCCTGACGGCCTTGTAGATTTCCTCGGAGGTTTTCACCGTGACCCCGTTGATCTCCAACACGATGTCTCCTGACAGCATCCCAGCTCTGAATGCAGCAGAAACACCTTCAGTTGTTACACCTTTAACTTGGTTTCATTATACAGTGAAGATCGGGTAACCCTGAGCTTTCTAAATAAAAGCTTATTTAATTTCACGTTTCTGGTTTTCCAGATCTACCGTCTGTCTGTATTCGATTTCAGCATGAAAAACAAAAACAGAATTGCAGAAACTGACTTGTTGAGCTCTAAGTCTCAGTAAAACAAGTGTAGAGACAGTGAGGGGAGTTTTTTCTTCCTGTATGAACAATAAGGTGTAAATGTTAAATATTTAAGCTTTCTAAGTGGCTCAACTTTTATGAAATTGTTTCTTTGAAATTGTTCAAATTTCAAAAGTAATGTTTGATTTTCTGTACATTTTTAGTTGCTTTTGTCAGTTTCAATTTAGTGAGCATTGTGGGTCTTCTGGTAGCTAACAGAGCTAACATTCTGAAGGCTATGATTGATTTTAAATAAGAACTGTTACGAGGATCGCTGTGTGTTAGAAAGTCAAATTTAAAACTGAGATTACTATAAATATGAGGAACGATTGGGGGAACTTGCTGCATTACAATCAAGCATAGCAAAGAAGCTAGCAAGAGTATATTAGAAGCTAATTAGCATAGCATCAGCTACCTTGAGCCACAGAAAGTTATGTGCTACTCAAACTTTAAACCTGACAGATTAGTCCTGCCACAACATTTAAGAGCCATTTATGGTCAACTGAGATTTTAAGACCTGAGATTTTAGATGCACAGACTTTAAGGCCATCCTGCTGTAAAATATGCAACAAACATATGAGATGATATTCAACCCCAGTCAGAGAGGAAGTGCACCTGCTGGCTGGTGAACTGGGGATGACTCTGTGGATCAGAATGCCATGACTGACGTTAGGAAAAGACGAGTCTTTCATCTTCAGCTCCGCAATGATGCTGGAAACAGAAAATAAGCTGAGTTTAAACAAGCTTAGGCCTCCATCACTGCAGGATGCTGATGATGACGATGCTTTTACCTGGGTGTCAGCGTGAGCATCATGACGCCAATGTAGCGTGGATTCACACTCAGGTCACCAGCCGTAGAGCCTGAAATACCAGAAAGGGGATCAATGAACAACTGCAGGTTATTGTTTTCACAGAAACATTGTTTTAGTGAAATATTCTTACCTTTTCTTTTAGCTGCTTGATTCAGAAAAAGTTTCACCCGATCAGACGGAATAGCGAATGAGATTCCTGCAGTGACCTTCATGGTGTTTATGCCGATTACTTCCCCATCCTGAAGAAAAATTAATTAAAAAGATATTTTTTGTCAAATCCTTTTTTTTAGTTTTTATATATACAGAATAATTTATTTTCCCTCTTTTAAAGCAATCTTTGAGCGTCCAAAATAAGGGCTTTAGAAATGTTGAATTTGTGTTATGATAAGTGACAGAAAATATTTTCAAAAAGTGGCATTAATTACAATCATTCTTCCTGTTTGGTGTATGACAATAATAGGGTCAGTCTATGACAGGAATATAGTCATAATATTAGCAGATTAAAGATGTAATTTTACCAGAAAAAAATGTCTTAAAATTACAGGAAAAAATGTGATTAGTGAGAAATAAGGTTGAACAAAAGTACAATTTCATTCTCCTGTTACTAAAACTTTATTCTTGTTACATTCAAGCAACATTATGATTTTATTTTTAAATAAATAAAATCTTAATCTGACTCTTATATTTGACCTGAACTAAAAGTCCAAATAAATAGAAGCTGAAACCTGCAGGAGTTTCTCTACTGACTTCACAAAACTGCAGGCGTTTGTCATTTATTTGTTAGTATTTTGTTGTTCTGTTGCACAGGTGGCTGGATGTTGATGGAGATCAGATCTGGTTTCCACATAACAGAAACCAGCTGAAGGTGACAAATAACAGAAACTGTGACTCACCAGATTAATCAAAGGACCTCCAGAATTTCCAAACTGAAATAAACAAAAGAAATGGGTCAAATGTGACGTGAAGTGCAGAAAAAACCTCGAGTCAAATCAGAAACTATTAACCTGTGGAAGATGAATAACAGAAAAAGGTTGTAAATTTGTGAAACGGCAGACATTTCCCAAGCATTCAACAACAACAAAGGAACAAAATTATTGATGAAGCTGCAAAATACAGCCGTGTATTACGGCTTAGTAAATGGGGAAAAAAACTAAAATAAGATTAAAATTTGCTAGAAAAAAACTACTTTGAGATTAATCTAAAAAATCTTTGAGTTTGAAAAGTCGAACCATTTGCTAGAAATAAAACTCAGAAAACTGGGAGGGAATTCAGACATTTTTTTTAATTTTGAAACAAAATTTTCTTGTTTTTCTAGAAATTTTCTGAGATTAATCTCAAAATGTAGTTTTTTCTAGTCGATTTTCGACTTTAAGCTCAGAATTTTTCTTGTTTTTTCTAGAAAATTTGTAAAATTAATCTCAGAATTTCTGATTTTTTGTGTGAAGATTTTCTGCTATTCTAGCTCAGAAATGTCTCAAAGATCAGAAATGTCCTCGTTTGTTTATTTATGAAATTTCTCTAATTAATCGCAGACTTTTTTCTAGAGCTTTTTAAGCTCAGAAAGCTTGTTTCTTCTAAATAATTTCTCAGATTAATCTCAAGATTTCTGAGTTTTTGCTCCAAAATGTCAAAAGTCTTTTGGTTCCTTTCCTCTGGTAGTGAAATCAAAACGTCTAAACGAAGAGCAGAAACGCTGAAGCCGCTCACGTCGATGGCGGCGTCTGTCTGTATGTAATCCATGTTGGAGTTGGACAGGCCCAGCTCCTTGCTTCCTCTCTGCGGTGAGCTGACGATCCCAGAGGTGATCGTGTTGCGCAGCGCAAACGGACTCCCCATAGCGACCACGAACTCTCCTTGACGAACCTCCGACGACTGGCCCAGTTTGAGCGTGGGGAAAGGTTTCTGCCCGCGGGAGTGAGAAGAGGCGGAGAAAAGCTTTAATAACATTTTTCTACCATCGAGTTTAATTGTTTCTCTTTAGAAAGTAAAAAAAAACTCCAATATTTTGTTGCTCTGATTAGATAAACATCACAGTTTAATTATCTATTTGTTATATGACCAGGATTCTTATTCAGAATTAGTGATTATTGTTCTGTTTACTGCTGTAAAAAAATAAAAATGTAATAAGAATGTTAATTTCTAATCCAGATTATCATATAATAACTGATAATCTGATATTACCAGACTAATCTGGTAATAATCTTATCCTGACTCGCTCCTGTGTTTAAAACTTACATACCTTTTAAAATATAAGAAATACCAGTTAGATTTAAGTGTTCAATATTGTTTTCCTTAGAGCTGAAATTATTAGATCAAATTAATTGTGACTAATTGATTATTTAAATAATTATCAAATAATTTAATAAGAAATCATTAACTTAAGTTAACAGACTGTAAAAGTAGCTATTTGCAGAAACAACAACACGGTCAGAGCTGTAATAAAGACAAAACTGTGCAAAAAATAAATACATTTTGCATTGAAGATGGAAAATGTCTGTAAATATAAGTGGCGTTTTTTGCTTCATGAGGTTCAAATTTGTTAAAAAATAAAAAAATAAATCTTTTTGTTACATATGATTAAGCATTCACCAATAAAATGCTATTTTATTAATTTATATTTTCTGATTTTAAAAAAGTAATTAAAAAATACTTTATTGATCCCAAAGGGAAATTAAATGAAATTTAATTATTTGCATCTTTTAATGTATTTCTTAAATACTGTGTAATGTAAATAAAAAAAAAATCTGACTAATCATTACTAAAATAATTATTAATGGCAGTTTATAACAGAAAAATCAAAGCTAAATGACTATGTTGCTACTCTGCCGTCCTCACAGTGGAAATGATTTTAATGGTGGCGATGTCTGCAACGGGGTCGATGTCCTGCACCGTGGCGTTGTACGTGTCGCCGTTGGTCAGCTTCACTCTGACGCCTCTCTTGTTTTCCACGACGTGAGCGTTGGTGATGATCAGGCCGTCGCTGCTGATGATGAAACCCGAGCCGTTGGCCACCGGGATTTCTCTCCCTGAAAATAGATTTCTGGAAAAAAAAAACAAAATCTGCTTTCAGCCCAAAGGGAAAGAAAATGATTTGGAAACATTTTGTTTTGCCTGAGTTCATTATTTTTTGCCACTTGTATGAATGATTGTCAATCTGATCCTCTAAATACCAAAATTTTTACTTAAATTCACATTTTGTTCCAACTGATTATGTAATTTTTAAATATTAGATGATTGATAATATTGTCAGTTACTCAGTACTTTTTACCAAATTTCTTGGATTGCTACTTTTTACTTGTAATAGAGTAAAAGTATGTTGAGGTAGAGCGACTCTTACTTGTCCCCAACTCTGTAAATATATATGTTTGAATATATTTGTGTGTTTTTCTCTTCTCAGTCACATAATTTAATTAGAATCTCTGGGCAGTTGAATAGGAAAAAATGATTGCGATTCTGAATCGAATCGCAATCGAATCGGATTGTTCAGGCCGACTCACCTGCTCACAATCTCGATGTACACCACAGCTGGAGTGGATTTTTCCACCACATCAGCTATGAAGTTGTATTTGAAGCGGGGGCTGTCGGGTCTGAACGGGGACGCGCACTGAGCAGAGCGCACAAAGAGTTTTAAAAAGCTACTGGATCCTGGAGATCCCTCGGAATCCACCTGATCCTCCCCTAGGCGGTCCAGTAGCGCCGCTCCGCAGAGACCGAGCCCCACGCAGAGAGACCCAAGCCGGGCAGAGCTGCCTGACCGACCGCTTCCTTCCTTCCAGGATGGATCTCTGCGGTCCAGGCTACTGCGTCCATCCGATCCTCGGCTTTTAAACCGCGCGCTTGTCTCTGGTTCTTTTCCGAACAGGACAGAGGGAAGACAAGAGAGTGTCCTCTGTCCCACAGTGTCCATTCCACGGCCGTGGATCTTAATGACAACTGACAGAAACCTGCCAGTTGCTGCCATGTTGCATCACTCAGTCACAGCTCAGCACTTTCCACAACTAAACACACTTTCTATCCTGAAACAAAAAGTTATCCAGGACAAATAAAAAGATCCGCGTCACCCGTGATGACAGGAACAACTTTGAAAAATTACTTTTCCTTTAAATCCACCCCAACCTTGAATGACTCTCAGCGACTCACTACTAGAATAACAGGAACCTTACTCCGGATGTTAAAAGCTTTTCTTCGTGTTGTCGAATGAACGCGGCTGCGCGTTCTTCTGCCCTCTACAGGAATAAACGAGCAACTGCATTTTATCTCTTACAAACTTTATTCGGAATAATTATGCTTGAACAAAAGATACTAAAAACAAATTTCTTGTAAACATATTTTCTGAATTAAAGTACATTGTCTTTCATTTAAGAAAAAAAGGATGAGTATGACGTGAAGTAGTTTTGTTGTAATGCTCCGTTCAAGTTACGTCGGAATTTGTGAAGAAATCAGAATTTTGACATGACCACACATTGTTTGCAGCACATCTTATACCACTTACAAAAGTATTCTTAAGCGTTGCTTTCTATGGGTAAACACGTATTTTAGTTTGCTCATTGCAGTTTAGAGTTGGAGGCGCTTCCTGTAACAATGACTTTAGATGGACTTTTACATGTATGCCTTGTAAAATAGACAGGTTAACACCACGTTGCTGCTATACAAGCGCGAAAACCATCTTATAACTCGTAACTGGTTGCACGAATCGCTCCCAGTTTCCTAGATGGCGTCATAGTTGATTTTTCCAACCGGAAAAAAGGAATTTCCCAATTCCGAGTAGAACTAGAACGCAGCATTACAATGCGTCACCGGAAGTTTTGTCTAAGGGGGTGGAGCTAGAATTTTTTGAAAATTGCGGTTTAGCGGGCTAACTGTAAGCTAATGTATCTGAGTTTGCTCAATAATCTATTAGATTGATCCCGCGGGATTATGGCGTCTTGTCATTTATTGCAACGCAAAGATCCCTGCCTTCAGTCTCCGGCGAAGATTTTTGCGAAGCTGAAATGTAAAGTTCAGAAAGAGGCGCAGGGCGGCCAGGAGCTGTTGCGGAAGGTTGGGGAGCAATACGGACATGGAGTCAAAGCAGCGGCTGTCAGCAGGGCCGATGGACCCGGGTCTAACCGGGACCCCGCGGGGTTCTGCTGGTCCGAAAAGATGAAGGAGAACAACAAGTTTGCTTCCTGTCAGACTCCAGCGCAGGCGGAAACTCTGTCGCCGATCTCCAGCCCAGAGGAAACCGATTATTCGATTAGTCGCGACCCTTTGCACCGAGTATCCCCTCTTAAAGACAGATTTCGTGGGTTCACGCGGAGAACCAGAGTCCTGATGGAGTCCACATCTATGTCCCAACTCCCGTCCGGCGTCTACAGAGATCAGAGCCCGGATGGCTTCAGTCGGATCCAACCCGCAGAGATTTGCGGGAAGAGTGCATTCAGTAAGGAAGCTCTTTCTCTCAGACCCATATCCCCATGCTGCGCCTTTTCCCCCATAAAGAACAGGCTGAGGAAGAGGAAATTGGATCTGAATGACACCCTGAAGCCCTCCAGAACCACCGAGGACTCTGGTCCACCTCAAGCCAGGAGAAGACCTGCTGCCTGTGGGGACAGCGTTGAGAGCAACACCTGCAGACTGGTTTGGAGTAACCTTAAAAGATTCCCAGAACCAAAAGAATCAGGAACCTGTGGACTCAAACGTGAGTGATTCCCCATGCCTGTCACAATATCACATTTCGCTGGACGATAAATAGTCCCAGTATTATTGCAATAAACGATAATACTGTTGTTTTGGTACTATTTTAACATAACTTAATGGTGGTTAGGTCATAAATACACATTCTCACAGATCAATAAATGTTCAATGCTAACTAACATTTAACACTGGAACTGTAAGACATTTGAAAAATCCAAAATAAATAAACAAAACAACAAATAAAATTAATTATGAAGTCTCTGTAAACAAAATGATCTTTCAACAAAAGGAGTTAGTTGAGACCAAAACACTGAAGACTTTTTTGTCTAGTTTTTGATAGAAAGATTAATTGATTTATTGGTTATTGGGACTGACCTATATAAATTAAAATAAACTCACTAATTTCCATTCTACTTGTTAATATTTTTTGAAGGGCAGTTCTGTTTACAGAGACTTCATAATCCATTTTATTGTTTTTGTTTGTTGTGTTTTATTTAAAATATCTTCCTGTTCTGGTTTTAAGTGTTATTCACAAAACCACAGCTTTTTGGTAATTGCAGAGTGAATTTGCATACTTATGCTGTTATTACTGATATATTAAATGTTTTTAAATATCCACAATAAATAAAAAAAAAACGACAAATAAAATGAATTATGAAGACTAATTGATTTGTTGCTTAATAATACCATAATTTCTGCTTTTTATTATGACTCAGATGAAAACAAATAATGTTGTTTTTCTTTGTTCTGAACAGGTCCAGCTGTTATTCTGGATACTGGCCCCACAATGTCTCCTGCCAAGTTATTTGCTCTGATGAAGGAAAGGGAAAGTAAAAGGGAACATGAGCAGATTGAAACCTGCAGCAGAAGGGAGCTGTTTGCAGGGAACAAGAGTACGTACGAGTCCTGAGCCACAGCCATAACGTATCAATAAAACCTTATATCAATAATTTAATTTAAAAAATTATATATAGGTGCAACTAACTATTATTTTTGAAATCGGTTATTCTGATGGTTAATTAGATAGAAAATTGGCACATTTTACAGATTTTTTTATTAACCACTTCAGACTATTTTATCCAATAATAGAAGAACATTAAAATATGTAAACAAACAAGTAATTCAATTCCCTTTCTAAATAAGAAATAAACATTGTATTGCCTAAAATGCAATAATATAGGATTCCTGGAAATCTGAACCAGGTGAAGCTAAAACTATTTCACCTGAAGAGTTTTTGGTAAAACATATTTACAAAGCTCTTAGATTCAAAATACTTATAGTTATTGTACAGATTGTGCTTAATTGCTGCTTACAGTGTGTTTAATTATTTTTAAGTCCTATGCTCCAGTTAATGATTAATCTATTACAGAATTAGTTAATGATCATTTCGATAATCGACTGATCACGATTGATCCGATTATTTGTTTCAGCTCTGGTTTTGTTTAACATTCTCCTTAGCAGACAGCATAAACCAGTAATCATCAAAATTACACTTAAAAAATTCAGCAGTCTCTGTAGAATGAATCCATACACTATGTAAAATTCACTTTTTAAATTGAGTTATTGAAAAGAAACATAAGATTTTTTTTTCTTATGACCTTTTCTTCTGCTAGGGAACTTGCAGGAGTCTTGCGACACTGATGTCTCCTCAAATCATCACCTGGAGCACATGCATCACGTTCCCTCAATGATTACTGCTGTGAACCAGAACCAAGTGGAGACACCACAGAGTCAGTCAGAAACCTCGCAGGATACTCCGATCCCTGCTTCGCCCTCCCCTACTGGTTTACTGGAGGACCCGCTGGTGCTCAACACTCCACAAATCTCCATACCAAAGAAAAACGAGGCGGTCTTCAGACGCAACGTTTGGCCCAAGCAGAAGAAATTCCCATTCGTAAGTAGAAGCATAAGACAAACTGAGGTTTCATAACTGAAGGAGAGGAGGTCATAGAACAACAGTCTTCCATCAGAGGCTTCTTTAAAAACGTTGTAATACTGACTGCTACAGGAGCTCCTTCTTGCCATAAGTGTCTTCAACAAGTCTTTGAAGAAGCTTGAATTAATGAGTTATAATTGGCCCTGTCACAAAAAACAATAAATCAATTAATCCCATGATAAGTTAAGAGAAACTCAGTAATTTTAATTTCTTGGTTTATCGACTTTTTCTTTTCTCTCGTTCTACGAAAACTGATCTTCAGTTTGGTGCTTTGGTCTCAACCATCCCTATTTTTTTTAAACACAAGTATGTTTACAGAGACTTAATCATTTATTTTATTTGTAGTTTCTGTTGTATTTTGAACATTTCAAATGGCCTCCAGCTTCAGTGTTAAATGTTCATTAGAATTTAAAGCTTATTAATCTTTGAGAATGTGTTCTTCCTTTATTATGCAATTATTACTTTTATATCACTTGAAAATGTTCTCAAAACAACAATATGATCATTTAGTCCAATACGTTTGGTGACAATTTATCGTCCAGCAAAATATGTTGTCATGATGAATCCATACAGTATGTAGGCCTGCTTACGACAACATTTGGTTTCCCTTTGGTATCAATGAAGCATTGTTTAATTAAAATTTAATAAAATGGCAACTAAAAGTGGCAAAAACTCAAGACTCATAAAAAGAGCCAAGAAAAAGAAAATTAATGAAAGAAAAAACTAGACAAAATAATTTGACAACATCAAGGAAATAAAAAGAGGAGAAACTAGTAAAACAAAACAGGAATAATAGCAATTACAGTAAAGTACAGTAGAAAAGAAAACAAGCAAAGAAAAACAAAGGAAGGCAGAAAATAAAAAGAAGAAAAAGTAACTTGGAAAAAAGCAAAACATAAATTGAAAGTAGAAAAACAGAAGAGATTAAAAGGAAAACTTGACGTAGAAATGAAAACCTAATGATATGTTACTTTATTTCATTTTTATTCACACCTCAAAACTTTGTCATTATTTGGGTTTAAGGAAAACATGACAAACAGCATCACAGTTACTTCAGATATACACGTTAAATGCTCTATTCTTCCAAATATCATATCAAACCAGTTCTGTACGTTTGTTGCGATTCGATTCATTGTGTAGCTCCTGTCACCATCAGCTGCGTATTTTATTTTTCTTTACAGGAGAGTGTGATTCATCTCAGGCAGTGGTTACTGAGGAGGAATCATCAGGGTTTGTATGTGGACGGGATTCACGTGTAAGTGACCGCTGCTCATAATAGGGCTGGGCGATGCGGCTTAAAAGCAAAATCTTAGATTTTTTTCTGATTTTAATATTTTTTTTGCTTTTTATGCAAAATAAGAAATTACAAGTGACAGAAAATATTTTGAAAAAGTACATCTTATTTCAGTGAACCCTTCTGTGAGGTGTACAATGATGTATTATGATGATTTTTGTTTAATTATGAGATGAACTTCATAATATTGCCAAAATAAAGATGCAATTTTACCTGAAGGACAAAGTTTGGACAGAGTGAACAGCTCAGTTTGTTCTTATTCTTCATAAT